TTATCAGTACCTCTTGACAGGTAAGACGCTGGCGCAGCCAACATTGCCTTTTCTCTACCAAGAGCTGCAGTGCTATATTTTCCTGTACAACATCTTTTCGGGACTTGGCTTAATTGCTGCTATTAGCAGTATCGGGAGCTGAGGGAGCTACTTGTTTTTATCAGGCTCACCAGGTCCTTCATCTCGTCGCGATTATGTGACATTGACAAATAATGCACCATCTGCGGTGGTGTAATCTGTTACAGTCCGATGTAGGCGTTGTGATGTGTTGCTATCTGTTCCCAGTCTCAACTGTAGCAAGATGAGGTACTCGGGCATCCTTGGCGACGTGATGGAGAGACTGACAGACAGGGCTGCTACGGCTCCTTGCTCTTTGCAGCTGCTGCATGCACCCCAGCAGCAGCGCACGGCAACGCAGATGAGCATGCGGCCATCAGCGGCTGGTTCACGGATGCCCAATGTGGGGCCTGCTGATCTCTCCGATGAGCATGGGGAGGAGGTAAGCCTCAGTCCCAGGACAGCCACCCGCTGTACCTGTACTGTGCTGTTGTAGGTGTCCGTTGTGGCAGCTTGAGCACCTTCTACTGCAGAAGTAGTGTCCTATCCATGTGAGTGCTTCCTTGTCTCTCCAGGGCAAGCCCCTTACTGATGAAGAATTCCATGCGGCTGTTGGGGTCGCAGAAAGTCTCCTCGCAGAATGCAGCTCGGCAACAGTGGACAATGAATGTGGCAGCAGCGGCAGCACCGGCAGCAGCAACACAGACTGCATGCGGGAGGCTGTGGCCAAGGCCTTGCTGCAGCTGCGAGGGGAGAGGACTCAACAACAGCCCATAGAAGCCCAAAACTATTCGCTGGCAGAGCAACAGCACTCTCTTGCACACAATCAGCGAAATCCGCATTCTACTATGGCAGGATTATTCAAACCAAGGGGAGGAGTGACGGAGCAAGGCGCGTTGTTGCTGCAGCTATTGCAGAAGCTCACCGGTGCATCGGCGGCTGTTTGTGAGCCTTCTCGAATCGCAAGTGAATTAAGAGAAGCCCATCCGTCGATTGCATCTATGCAGTTTCCAGCGAACAGCTGCGAAGCTGCGCCGGCGCTGGCGTCGGCAGCTGCAACAGGATCAACGACGAATACTTCTACTGTGACTCATCTTCCCGTTCTTTGTGGCAAGAGCGGACCAGTTGCTGCAAATTCCACGCTTTCAGTTCTCCAGCCACCGAGCAGCATTAGCAGCGGCCATCAGCAGCACTTACAGGAAGCAGCAGCAATGACTGCCACCGCAGCAGAATCCATAGGGGACCTGCCTTTTGGCCTTGTCGCCAAGGCAACACAGCCCGGATGCGCGTCGACAGCTTCAGCTGCATCACATGCGCCGCAGCTTTATTCTTTCCTGGAGCTGCAGGAACAGGGGCAGGTGCAGTGTGGTGATCAGCAACAGTTGCAGAACAAGCAACAGTCCGCTTTGTCACTTGCCTGGATAAACCAGGCGACCCACAGTGATGTAGGTGACTTCCTGTGTCCTTTAGGAAGCACTGGTTTAGGAAGCACTGGTGGCAGTGCGAGCTCTCAGGGCGGTCAAGGGGCTGGGCCTTCTTCCGTGGCTGCTCTGGGCCTGGCCGACCGCCGCCTGTCTGCCCCTTCAGGCAGCACGGGTGCCACGCCTCTCACAGTCCCCTCAATGAATGCGCTCGGCATTTGCAGTGCCATTGGCGAACCGCTCAAGCAACAGAAGCAGCAGCAGGCTCGACAGGTGCCTTCTCACCAGGGTGAAAGGATCAATTCGAGAGCTGAGGAGGGCGAGCGGCTGAAAGCCCTGATTAATAGCATGTGGGGCGAAGGAGCAAAGGACATCGTGCCCTTTGGCTTGACGCCGCATGAACTTGCAAGGGACAAGCTAGGAGTAGTGGGCGGTCCGCTTGGGGCACCTGGTGCAGGGAGAGATTTTTCGCTGGGCGCGCTTGCCGCGATGCCTGCTGATATCAGTGCTTGTAGAGCCGCGACTGAGATCCCTGGCAATTCTGCAGTTGACCTAGACCGTCTGATTCCCGCAGGAGGCATGCAACCAAAACTGCGGGGGAAGCAGCTGCCGAAAGGAGATGACGGGGATGAGATGGAGGTCGAGTCCGCAAACCGAAAGCTTGGAGAATTAAGACCTGCATGCTGTTACTTTCTCCTCGGCAAGTGTGAGTTTAGCCACTCCTGTGTCTTCTGGCACCCCCCACCTGAAGCCGAGCCATCTCTCGTTGTCTGCAAGTATGGACGGTACGTGCCACCAACGTTTGTGCAGCACGGATTGCAGAAACACCCACAGCAGCTCCGTCAGCACGGCACGGCCAGATTTTCAGTTTGGTCTCCCGTTTGCATTTTTTTCAGGGTCTGCAACGCCAAACATGGACACCGCGTGTCTTACAAAGAACTGGCTGCGGTAGTCCATGCATTTGTCCGCCGTTGCCCCCAGCTAGCGCCTGGAGAGTCAGGGCGGCTTTATCATTACCTAAGGGTTTCCCGCTCGCAGCCGCAACAACATATGAAGCAGCTCAGTGGTAGACCGCCGCCAACGCTTCCACCATACGTAAGTGCTAGCGCTAGATTTGGCTCGTTCCTGCGTCTCTTTGAAATTATGTGCTTTGGGGATGTTTGCGTTGCAGATAATACATCACTTTTACAGGCTCCTCGACAACGTCCAGGGCCGCGATTTGTCGGCCGTCAACTCTGTCTGGCGTCGAACGTTTGGCGAGCCATTCCCCTACGCAGTGTACGTGTCAAAGTCTATGCAGCGCCATTAATTAGTTTTATTTGGAGCTGGCGGTGGTGTGGCGTATCATTCTAGAGCTGGTACGGATGTGGCGTGTCTTTCTAGAAATTTCGGTTCCCCCTGTATGTCCACCGTTGCCTTCATGCCGGGGACACGAGCACCTTTTGGTTTGTAGCAGTTTGTTTGAATGTTTGGTCTCTCCTCAGGTTTGGTTTCGAACAGCTGCGAGCGGCCATCGCCTCGATTCCCGGTGTGCAGCTGACAACGCGAGGGACAAATGTCATCGTCAGCACGCGCAGCAAGGAGCCGAACTCTCATGGGAAGGGCTCGATCCTAAATTCATTGGCTTCGACGGATTCGGTAGTACCTCTCAGAAATAAGTACACAGCTCAGGCGATACAGCAAACGGATCCGTGCCGCATGAGTCTTCTTCCCTGTCCACCTCTCTACCACTGCCAGGATCTTAGCAGCCCCAGCCCCCCAGGCCATGGAGGCCCTCACGCTGCAGCACCCCTCGCTGCCTGCTCTATTGGAGCACAAACACCAGGCCAGCAAAGCCTCCCAGAGATTCCCTATAAGTGAAACACGTCTTACATCTATTCTTATCGAATATGACCATAGCGCCTTAAGGTAGGTTTGTTAGCGCACACATATATCTGTTGTGGGCGTCGGCTACTTTTTCTTCGTTAACTTCAGCCCTTAGGAAATGTCCGCGCGACAGAGATCCAGGTTCACTTTATTTTTAATGCCCCGCTGTATATGAACGAGACACCAGTCTTTCATTTCATATTTGTTTTCAGCTCGTGTTTAGTAGTCTTACCGCAGCCCTGAAAACAGGAATTCTTGTATTTTCGGTCCACCCACTTGTTTTGTATACTAATCCCCCGTGCTGCTGGCGGTCCTTGTGCCATGTCTTCAAATCCAATTAATCTTACAAGGTGCACTGTAGGGAAGGCGCCTTTTATTGCTCTGCGTGGGACAGCGAGTTGTCAGCCTACATGAAAATTAGTACTTGTACATCGTCAAGTTGTTGCTGTGCTTGAGGAGAATTACAAAGACATGCCACGCCCTTGTGAACCTCGTCCTCGAGACGTCGAGCTGTTTAGAGGCACTCGTGTTTGTTTTAATTTTATCTCTTTGAAGGTCAGTTGATCTTTGAGGAGCCGGCTGGTCGATGTGTTTCTTCTTGAAGTGCATTTGCTCATCAGCCATTCCTTGGAGCTCATGAGCTAATTCTCCATAGCTGTTTCAACTGTTTGCATGCGTACAAAGTAATATGTTTTGCCCGGACTGAGGGTGCAGAACCCCTGCTACCTTGGCATACCAACCAATTTGATGTGTTATTTTTGCTGTGGACTGCTTGGGTACTCGCGACAGGGAGGTGGAGACCCGCCGTAGGCTTAGTGTGTATTCTGTATACTTAGTGCTGCTCCCAGCGGCAGCGGAAACGAGAAAGCGACGGACGTCTTGCAGAGGAGGCAGTTGAAGATTGTCAGGGAAGAGCGCCTTTGCAAGTTATTGCAGTCACGAGAACACGATATGTAACAAAGCCCTGTGCTCGTAGTAACCACTAGCGTGTCCTGGCCACCTGGCTCAGGGGGAATGATTCGTCGGGATCGGTCGCTAGGGGGGCTGGCATGAAGGCGAAAAGAGAGTAAAAGTGGCACTTCAAAGCTACATCCGTTACCTTTGAACACACCTAATTCGAGGCCTACAGGGGCACACCGTTGGGTGCGCAGTACCTGCGTGAGAGCTACTGTAAGGGATATAGTACGAACTAAACTTTGACTTCCGAAGCCATCGTTCCAGGTCTAGGTTTCGAAGACCAAAGGACATTTTGCTTGAATATATATTTCTGTGCCTGGAGGGACCATTACAGCAAAAGCTTAGAGACTGAAGCTCACGCCCTTGTTGAGGCATCCGTCTCTAGCTGGCGATGGAGTACAGGCTATCGCAGTCAATAAAAGCATTGATTTCTCCAACTACCGTCGGAGGAACTCCGCAAAAACGAACGCCAGCCAGCAATGAACATGCTTGACGGTTTTTCCCACTAAAGTGCATATGCTCGCTATCTGTCCACCCCGAAAGAAGTTCAATTTCCTTGCTCGCAGCCAAGTGATAGCGATTGCCATCGGACCCAAGCTCCAGAAGATGGTACTATATTAACAAAGAACTCTGGATGCCATGCGTTTCTCCGAACGTCATGCGAGGTCTCAGACTCCTCTCAACCACTGGCAGGATCCCTTACCGCACGACTTCTGCAACACTGGCGGGCTCCTGTGTGTCTTGGATTTGCAATGCCTTGGGCCAAATAAACTTTTCTAACTCGTTTGCATATTTGTAGTATATGGTGGAGGGCCCGTTGTAGCGCCGGCAGTTCGCGAACATTCGCCGTAGCTCCGAAAGAAACGCAGCCTTAGAAGGAAACTGTTTCTGCGCACATTTTCACTCAAACTACTAGAAATTTAATCCCACGTATCAGGTGGCAGACAAACCACAGGAGCACCAAGTACTGTCAGCCCGAACGATGTGGAAGAGTCACGCAGACTGCTGAATTACGCAACAGCAGAAAAACTAACATCAGTTTATCTTGATAAGCTACGCAACACAGTCAGCAACCACCAAGCGCACTAAAATCCGCAGACTAAACAATTTAAAAAAAAACATAAAAGACCGACGAGAATGTCATGCAGCAAGGCGTCTATACCTTCTTTGCCTTCTTCTTCATTGTTGAGATATCTGTAGGCTGGGTGATGATCTCGTAGTAGTCAGGGGCCTCGTCCTTTGCCACGGGTTTTTGGAAAGGCCATGCACTGTGGTGGCGAGAAAGAATGTCGAGCACGTGGACAATCTGCTCGTGCAGCGGCCGAGCGGCCGCCGCGCCGTCGCTACCCGCATCAGCTGTAGCTTGAGGGGTCCAGCCGTATTCCACAACCCCAGGTACTTGAGAAGGGTGCAAAACAAGATTGGGCTCTTTCTGCGAAACGCCGAAACAGGGCCACACGCTCGTCTGTCTTGCTCGCAAGGAATCTTACACGCATGTTAAGGCATATATTAGCTCAAATGCCCATTGGAAACCGTGCGCCAGCAGCAACCTGCGCTCACGGGTGCAAGAGATCACAGCTCCTTACCTGCCAGCACGTCAGCCCGGGGAACACGCGGGGAGGCTTAAGGCGCATAATAGCTTTCTGTACGGCTTCCTGTTGGTCGTTTAGCATCTCATACAGACGTAAATAATCAACTTTAGGGGAAATACGACATTCCATAAGGGTCCCTCCCTCGTAGTCCTTAATAAAGCCAAACCACCTCTCCTTCGGCATAGATATCTTCTGTGTGAATCCTTGCTTTCGGAAGTACCCAACAGCAAAGTTGTCTGCTCGTCACAAGCAAGCAACTTGCAACCGTCAGGTTGTAACACCTAACACCTTCAAACCTTGACCTGAGTCTGTCTAGCTCTTTAAGCTATACTGCCCGTGTTTACGAGCGGACCAACAGGTTTACCAGCATAAGTCAAAAAATATTCAATGCCGCTCTTCTTGACGTGCTCTTTAAGGTGGTTCATTAGGCGGGTGCCATAGCCCTTGACTTGTTCAGAAGATGTAACCGCCAAGAATGCCACTTCAGCAAACTTCTAAAGAGATAAGCACACACTTCTAGGCTCAAATCCTTGAAGAGCAACCGGGTTCTCACCCCTACCTGGAGCTATGCGCCACGCAGGAGTCAAATGCACAAACAGCTGACCGCGCTTTTACATCACAAAGAAAATAGGACAGACAATGCTGCAAACGAGAAAGCAGATGCATCAAAACAAACTGATTAGCGCCGTAACTTAAGAGGGCGCGTGAACTTGGCTGAGCTGCTGCTTGCCTGCTTAAAATATGGCCTGAAGCAGCACCCTCCTATTATTTGCTGCTGCTTGATGAGGCAGAACGTGTAGTGGCTCCGGTCAAACACAAGGCGCACAATATATTCTCTGGGCATCTTCGGAAGCTGCCGTGAGAATATGTTTTTCGCAGCGACAAGCGCCATTGAGTGAAGCGGCTGGCGGTCGTTCGTCAGACATGCAAAAGAAATGAGACCAGATTGCTCCTCCCTAGCAGAGCCGAAGTCTCGGCTCAAAAACCCGAGACCCGACTCAGACACCAGGAACGACTGCAGCACAAAACAAATCATCTCAGCATTATACCCATGTCGGCCGCGTCTGTGGGTCGAAAGCCACAAACCAAGGCGGTCGACGTCGTGGTAGCTTTCTGAACGGTATCATTTATGTAGGCTGATAAGCAGCCACGCAAAAGATAAGACCCATAGGTCTGCTAGGTTAGATAGCCAACGGCTCGTCCACAAAAGACCAAACGCACGTCGAATCACAGAGGGTGAGTTGTAAATTTCTACTGCGGAGGTCCTGCACTACAACAAGCTGTGAGTGTCCACCTCAGGCTTTCTTGAGTCACAACGATCACTTGAAGGAACGTCTCAGGCGACACAAGCCTTAGTCAGGGCTAGGGTACCTCCAGGGTGGCGTCGTGTGTCGTGACAGACTGAAGAGCTGCACACCTCGCAGCAGGGCTGAGGCTGGCCTCATCGCACAGTCGGTGGAAAACCGCAGCGCAGCAGAAGCCTAAAGGGCCAGCTGAAATATCTCGCAGAAGGGAGGCACAGCAACAGAGCAGCAGGGAACGCAGCATCCCCCGGCCAAATACGCAGCTCAACGAGGCTCCTGTTGGCTGTTTCCGCAGTAAGAAATCTCTCCACTCTCTGAAAAAAGGAATAACCACCCAGCTCTGAAAAACCAAAACCTTCGAGCGGAACCTAAGGCTACGGAACCTACAGCTTAGGCATATACGGATGACCTGTTGAAGCAATCATACGAGAGGGACTTGCGGCTCCGTTTTCAACTGCCAACTCGACATGCTCGGCCTGCTGCGAAGGGATGCGCACGTTAATCTCAGTTTGCCTGTAAAACCCAGTGTCAACACCAAGATGGTGACTAGACGAACTTGCCTGTAGTTTGTTTCGTAACTCCTGTCTGGAGGCAGCGTGCTGCACCTGGTTCGCTCCTCGGGAGTCATGAGCTGTACAGTGTTAAGCGCGGCAGCTACAGCCATCGAGAGCTCCTCAAGGGCCTCTTGCCCTAGCAATCGCCCATCGTGAGGGACCAGCACCAGCAGTGACCGGCTGTCTATCAACTTCGGCGGCTGTAAAGAAGGGAAAAGCAAGCTCTCCGCTGTTGCACAGTCAGGTCGGCTTGCTGCAGTGGCAGCAGCTGCAGCAACTCCAGCTGCTGCACCACCGCTGCGGCAGGCTGCAGTCGCCGCCGCAACTCCACCAGCAGCTCGACGACTCGAAGTCCCCGTGGAGTTGCTACTACCGGTGTTGCTGTTGGGGTTGCGCTGGTGTAGCATCTGTTGCAACTGATCTAAGTGAGTAAAGGTAAAGGGGGAGGGTGGAGAGGGCTGCTGAGAAGGAACCAGAATGGGCTGCAGCACCTCTTTAACGACTCTGTGCACGATGTCCGATATAGATGCCTCAAGCGGCAGAACAGACTTGAATAGCGGCATTCCATTGCTACTGCTGCTGTTGCTGCCTCCATGCCCGGCGCTGGGGGGAAACGCCGCTGCCCCTGGGGCATCCAGCATGCCACTGACTGTCGCTGTGAGCCGGGGGGTGCCCACAGCACTTGACAGCACCATGCCTCAGCTGCTGCAACCGCTGGAGAATTCGTGAGCCAGGTTCTATGTATCAAACTGAAGAAGCTGGCAGCTTGCGGCTATTGGTGTACTGCTCTATATTCCTATTCCCACCCTCTGAAGGTTGCAGCAACGGCAGCAGCTGCAGCCGCTCCTCCGCAGTGCTCCCGTGGTACTCGCGACTGAGATGCTCGAAAATACCCACGAGGGGGTGCCCTTACAGCGGTAGCTCCACAATATTACAGTAGCCGGTGGGAAAACCCTGTTCACAGCAGCAATTTAAGCCTTATCTTTGCACTATGCATGCTATTGAAAGCGCCTAGAAGAACATATTCGAAGATTTACGAGGGTCTCTGCATGCAGCAAGCCGCCAAAGGGGGCTCACTAAGAACGGGTCCTCAGAAGCGGTCTAATGATACACTGTCAATGGGCAAAGAACGCAAAGAAATTGTTTCGTTTGATATATTCAACCGCAGAGATTAATCTGATCAATCTGAGAAAGCTCAAGACAAGGGAAAGGCAGAGGAACGGCAAGCACAAAGCACTGCTCCCGCTGAGGCGATGACCCATACGATCATCAGCTTGAATGAAACCCACTCATTGTTTGCCCAGCAAGTCCGTTGACAGAGGCTTTCATTCCACTAGCTGCTACAGTAACAGTGTCGAGTGGTGCACTGGCGAGCGAGCTGAAGGCAGTGGGAGTGGGAAGACCAGGAGCAGTCCAAAGCACAGGTTGCAGCAGTGGAGACGAATTGTTCTATGGGCGCATCAGCGATGGAATATAAGCGGTCCTTCCGCGTCTCGTGAAGGCTTTGTGCCGCTACTATGGGACATTTTAAATGCGGCTGGCAGAAGCCAAACCTGGTGTTCGTACTGGGGCAAGTACTGTTCTTTTTGCTGCCCACTGTGTTCACAGACAGAGGTTCTTCAGCGGCAAGCGCAAGGTCTTCAGTGCTGGCAAACTGTAGTCAACGTGTAACCTTAGAATATGGTAGTACAAGGCCCTCTGCATTTTTGCTTTGGGCGCAACATAGCCCATGCCTAGGTACAGTAGGGTTATTGGCTGCATCGCACCAGCGCGAGCAGGAAGAGCACTGGAAATTTTATGGTGGGCCTTGTGCTACAAGAAGATGCCCCAGGCGCGGCAGCAGCGGCCGATCAGGGGAGACTCGACTATGGGCTCGGAAGGTAGGTGCTGTACATGAGTACTCTAAACGAGCGTTCAGACGATGGTTTCCTCTGGGGCACTGCTAGTGAAATGAGTAGGTAATCAGATGGCAGTACTAGTAGAAACTGTGTAAGTAGAGTGCGCTGTTGCCCGCCGAAACTCGATGCAGTTCTTGAATCTACGAGACCCTGAGGAACCCCGGCCAGAGTTGCAGGACTTGCGCTGGAAGGACTCAGAGCCCAAGGTAGGCCGCACAATTCCTTTACACGGCTCACAGCATTCATTTCCCACTCTCCAGTTGCAGCGGTAAGGGCAAGTTAGCTCAGAACCAACCGAGCGGACAAAGCAAAGCTTCGACCCTGTTTGCGAGCACTGCGGGTATACGCTCAGGTGGAGATTTTGGCCCTGAAGGTTGGGATGACAAGTGTTTTTGCATCAGATGGAACCACAGAGCCTGCCACTTTATTGCAAGTACTTCCAGCTACAATTGTCCAGTTTCTTGAGCACGGAAAAGCGCTAGTGGCATACGGTAGGACAAAAAGGGTACTTCAACGAGCTCGCAGCTTCTCTTTAACTTTAGTGGACAACATGGAGTATACAGATTGTCATTCAGGGTCGGGGAGGCACACATATTCCTTGAGAGGCTTTATTAGCTCGTCACATGCAACCTACATGCATCTTACCTTGAACGCTTGCGGACGCTCGTTCTCACGCACTGTCATCCAATAGGTCGCCTGTGAATTGCAAGGGAGTGATCGTGGCGTTTGATGTGAATTTTCTTGTTTTGCTATTGCGCAGATGATCCCCTTCACAGTCACCGCTTCCTGCGGCGATCCGTTCTCGGGGTTCTTCAACGTGTGGGAAGCAGCGGAAGCGGCACGAGTACTGCCGGAAGCAGCAGTAGAAACAGCATCAGCAACAGCAGTCTAGCCGCGATATCTGCACAGCCAGCTGCGGATTACGTCTTGGGGCAGATTTTGGATGTGTCAGCTCTTGTGGGAGCTGCGCGGGTCAATGTAAAAGGGAGGCCGAAGAAGAAGGGGTTTGAAGGGGTAATGCAACGACACGGCTTTAAGGGGTAAGGCCTGTCTTCTAAGCGGCCCTTCTGTGATTTGCCGTGGTGAATGTCAAGAGAAGTGCGCACCCACGAGCGTATTGGGTAAAAGTATTTGTATATCCATACTACGAGGCGAGTAAGCAGCTTTTGGCTCATGCGCTTGTTACCGTGCCTGAGATGTTTTCCCCTGCTTGGAGAAAACCTCGAATCTTCCGGGTCGCAGCGCGCACTGCTGCTCTGAGATGCGGCAACCATGAAATTTGGTTTTGCTTATGCGGAAAACTACTTGCAGGGGACCTGCTACACACGGCTCGAAGCATCATAGAGGTCCTGGTTCTATAGGAGCTGGAACAGACCCCGGGCGTGTACTGCCGGGCTCTCGAATGGCGGGAAGAGATCCAAAGAAGACAAGCACAGTGAGAGATTTACTGCTCTTGGGTATAAACATTAAGAATAATTCGCTCCTGGTGAGAGGTGCGGTGCCCGGTCACTCTGGAAAGACAGTTCTTCGGATTCAGTGGAACAGGGCGCGGGAGCAACAGCTAGAGCTGCGGCGACGCTTAGATGAGGCTGTAGCAGAGGAGTTCCTACAGCATAAGAAGGGCCGCCCCATATGAACGAACAAGTATTGCTTATGGCGACTTCGTTGGAGCTACACTTCATCGAAACTCGAGCTGCAGGAGCAGCTTCGGTGCCAGAATCAACTGTAGCAGCAACCAAGGTGTACATTGAGGTGCAGCCTGCTGCGTTTTAATGTGATGCATATACAGGGTCGACGGACTGCAGCTGTTCGGGCTGCAGTGGGTGCAGCACTCGGTAGCAAACTTGATCAGTTCCACATAGGGTTTGGGTGTGTGTGGCGCCGCTTTTTTCCGTGTCTGCGTCTTGAGATCTAGTTCTAACCGCTTGTCTCTTTGGTCGGCTTGTTACTCGCTAGTCAGGCTTGTTACTCGCTATTCAGACAGCTCATTCTGCCATGACCAGTATGCTGCAACTATGCCAAGCTCAGTACACGCTGAATGCATGGCAAGCTACGGAAATTAATTTGTATGTACAAAGATTGACATACGTTGAACACGGATCGCGGTAGTCAGGGCCCTCGCCTAACAACTTAAGTGACTGAACACGCACATTGAGAGATGCTCTGCAGAGCACTGCGAACACTGCGCTACGACGGCTGCCGCTCAAAAGCTGTTCCTCTTAGCCTTGTCTAAACTCCTAACCCCTGCTGTGGCCGCGCCCGGCGACAGCGCTGCAAGTTCCACTGCTGTATTTCCCTTCAACCCCGCAGACTGCGCCAGAGAACCACGTCTTAGGGGCCGCGCGCCCTCAGGAGCATCGCCTCCTCGAAATTGTGAGCTGGTCGGTGCTGCTGTCCCGGCATTTCCTGTGGTACAAGCCACTTGCTCTGGACTTCCGTAGGCCCCCTGTGGTCCTTCCTCCGCAACTGCAGCCTCGAAAGTCCCTGCGTCGCGGTTTCTCTGAACACAGGCGACCAATTCGCTGTCGCCAGGTACATCTATGTTTCCAGCATTTCCTGCGGTAACACCAACAGCTATTGCTGCTTCTGCAGGCCGTAATCGCAGTGTATCCAGGTTTGCGATATTACGTGGGAGCTGGTCTTCCGCTCTGTAGTTCCCAGTACGGGCAACAACCACACCAGGAGCTGCATCGACGGTTTTTGCTTGTGCTCTGTCCTCCACGTCGCCTGAGACGATGCCAGCGGATGCAAGGAGATCAGAGTGATGGTGCTGCGCCTCCACCAGCTCGCCACTAAGTTCTGCTATGCGACGCTGCTGTCGTGCCATTTGTTGTACTTCCGGATGGTGCTGAGCCACCAGTGGTTGCCTCAGTTTTAGGGTTAATGCTACTGAGCCTGAGGCTCCTTCCAACACTGACACTGACTCCTTTTCCTGGTGCACCAGCTGCTGTTGAGGTGCCAACTGCTGTGCACCCATTACTGAGTGTTGCTGGTCCCTCTGGTCGTTTTCCGTTTCTTCCTCCGCTTTCGCCTCTTCTTGTTTTCTCGATGTTGCGCAGCCTTGCCGCCAAGTGACCGTGGTTTGTGGCTCTGAAGGGTGTTGCCGTTGCTCCGGCATACGTTGTTGCTGTTCCACGAAGCTCGCGTTCTGTTGCTTTAACGTTTTCTGCTGCATCTGCCCCCGCTGCTCGGAAAGCTGGTCGTGTTGCTGTTCATCCACTCTTTGACCGGGCTTCTGCAACAGCCCATGGTCTCCACATTCGTGTCCCTGTCTCTGCTCCCGCTGTACCTGCTGGCATTGGTACTGTTGCTTGTGGGAAGAGGACACTCTTTCTAACTGTAAGCGTTCAGAGCCTACAGTCAGGTAGTGATCCCACGTACGATGCTTTGACTTCTGCAACAGCTGAGTTTCGTTGCAATCTAGCTGAGTAAACCAAGGGGGCAACTGTACAAGGCTGGCGGGAACAACCTGGGAATTTCCCCGTCGCAGCGAACGACTTGTTGGCTTCGGTGGCATCCTGCTCCACAGTGACTGATCCATCTCCTCCACACTTTGGTGTTGCAAATGCGGTGTATGCTGATCCAGCTCCTGCCCAAGCGAATACTCCTGAGTTGAGGGTAGCCGTGGTGGCTGTTGCTGCTGCAGCTGATGCTGGGTCAAATTTACGTCCTCAGTATCTGGACTCCAGTGATTCGGGAGTTGCTGCTGTCGCGGGTTCGGTTCTAACAGCAAACTGTTCTGCTGCTGGTCCTGTTGAACACAGTCAGATCCAAACTCAAGTTGGTCAAGTTGCATTTGGTGAACCTCTTCGCAGGAAGCAGACAAAGACAAGGACTGCTGCTGGTGTATTTGTACATTGTGTTTTTTTGGGTGGCTTTCTTGAAGCCCAGGCTGGACTTTGCTCCCGTTCAAAGAGCCAAGTATACGCTGTTTCTCACGCATAAGTAATTGCTTTTGTAGTTGGCTTGTTAAGCGGTTCGTCGGCTGTAGCGGCACATCGCTGCCCTGCTGCAGCAGCCCAGTAAGCCCACATTCCCGCTCGTGAAGCAGTATTGCGTTATTCTCTTTCTGTCGAACTTGAAAATATTCCTGTTGATATTTATGGTGGCATTCTGCCTGACCTTTTGTGTAAGGCGATGGTACATGAGGTGGCTGCTGCTGCTTCGGTGGACATTGCAGCTGCAACAGAGGCAAGGGCTGGGGGAGACTCTGCTGCGCCTGACCTAGTGTTTGAGCTTGCTGTTGCTGCCGGCAGGCTCTCAAAGACGATTCAGTGCCTCGCACATCTTCACTGCAGCCTAGACTGTGTGCAAGAGGCTTCTGACACTTCGCTGTCTCCCGCTGGTGCTGCTGGAGCTGTTGCTGCAGTAACAACTGGTGCAGAAACAGGTGCTGACCACCCTGATGCGTGCTTTGCTGGTTCTCGGAGATGACTGACTGTATAGCTTCTCGTCTTGGATGGAGAACTGATTCCTGTAAGGACATCGATGACTCCAGCAGAGAAGCCGTTGCCAAATCATGAAGGCTGGAGGGGAAATTCTTGTAAAGCGGCACCTGCCGTTGTTCTTGATCCTTGGTACGGCGTGCTGTTGCATTACTGGCAAGTTGAGGGACGTTTCGGAGCCATCTTTGCTGCGTCAGTGCAGGTCCATCCCTCAGCACCTGTAGGGAATGTGGAGAGTTTGGAACCCTTGCTGAAGAGATGGGCTGCTTTTGTTGTTGGCCCACTTCAGGAATCTCTACATTAAATCTTGTTTGCGCTTCTCCGTGCGCCTTGTCGTCGAGCTGGTGCACCCTCGAAAATGCGCTGTCCGTACCCCGCGTTGCGCTGTCCGAGCTCTGAAGTGGCTGCTGCTCATGCTGCAGCTCCTGCAACTTCCTGCTATGCATGGTGAATCTGAAAGTGCCCGCTTGACCCTGAGACGGGTAATCATGGTTCTGGGGAATAGGAAGTTGCCCCTGTTGCAGTAGACTCCGGGGATGCTTCTGATGCTGCTGTTGCTGTTGCTGCTGCACGTGCATTTCCTTCCCCGAATACTGTCGGCTCCTCGCTAGGTCAGACAAAAGCAACGCCTGCAACAGAGTGTTGTCCCCGCGCCGCTGGCGATGCTGCTGTCCCTGTGCTTCTTCTCCATTATGAAGCCGCTGCCATTCTTCTATAACTGCTGTGAGGTCTGCTTGATTTATGAAGGACATAAGCGGCTCGTCAGCTTCGGGAAGTGCTATGTTAATTTCCTGTGGAACTATGCGCAAGAGGGGCCAAAATGCAGCAGCAGGGAGGGATGCAGCAGCACGATCAAGAAATTGTAGCCGCTGCTGCTGTTCCTCTTGCTGCATGCGTTGCAGGACGCCTTGGGCTAACTCTGCAGCCTTACGAAAGGAAATAGCAAATACAAGCCGTCGTGCCGTCTCCCTCGCCGCTGCAGCAAAGGCAGCTGGGCACGCATATATTCGCCGGAGCTGTACAAGAGCAGCATCGACCCGCTGTGCCCTGCTGCTGCACGCCAAGCCCTTCTCGTGATACTGTCGCAGCACTAGTCGTCCCCGTAAACATGTACAAATGAGATGCAGCTGATTTCGGCAGTGACGTGTCCAAGCAGCCCGCTGCTGTTCTGTTAGGTCCTGTTGCTGGTGCTGTAGCTGCTGCAGGTCCTCCATAGCAGCTCCCTGGTGCGCAGCAAGGACCCGCAGCTGCTGAGGAGCAAAGTTAGAATACGCAATAGGAGGAGCTGGAGCTGCTTTAGCCACTGCAGCAAAGGCTCGAGTATGTACAGATGTCAGCTCCTGTTGCTGAACAAGTAGTGCTGACATGGCTGCTCTGGTTTCAGCAGCTGCAGCAAGCAGCTGATTAGCTGAGGACCTGAATGTACAAGCTGCTGCCTGGATATCCTGCTGCAGCTGCTCTACTTGCTGAAGCACTGCTGTACGATCTGCAAACACTGACGCAGCAAAAGCGCGAATCGCCGGGACGTTCAGAAGCGAGGCTGCTGACTGTCGCGATGCTGCTGAATCGTCCGCTGCTACTGATACTGACGTAGCTGTCTTCCCCACTGTTACGTCTGCAATTTCAGGAATGGGGGTGGGAACTGTTGCCTGCAGGCGCATTGGTGACGGTGACCTCACAGAAAAGCTGCTGCTCTGCCGCCTTACTTTGAGTGGGTTGCTTTGATTCGTTGCAACACGGCGGCACCTGATTTGTGAGTTGCTTGTGTCCTCAATAGGGCCTGCTGTTGCCGACAGTTCCGTCGCTCCCGTTGCTGTGTCTAAAGTCGCAGGTCTACAGGCTTGCGCTGGGTTGCCGGATAGGGTGGCAGTTGTCCTCAGCTTTCCAGCAGCAGCAGCTGCAGGTAAGGTGCACTTCTCCCTCGAGACGACTGTGTGCTCAAGTAACGCTGCCTCTCCCTCCACACTTGTAACAGGGGAGCCGAGGTGCACGGGCTTTTGTTCTGGCTTCACTATGGGGAAACGGTCTCCAGTTCTTTGCAAGTCTTCACGATGGGATAGCATATGTCCGCCAGACGCTGCAGATGAGACACATGAACCACCAGAAGCAGCCATAAATTCGACTGGCGAGTGCTGCGAAGAATGGCTTCCATCAGAGATACTTCCTGGAGAATGGAATGCATCCGCAGGAGGGCCTTCACCAGATGCTACAACGGCCATACTAGAAATACTTGCAGTAGGACGGACTGCTTGTGTTGGGGTTGCTGATGATTTTGTTGTTGACCTTGCTGTTCCTGTTCTTGCTGCTAGCCGCCCTGGGGTTGCTGTTGATACTGTCTTTAGTGAAGCTAGACCGAACAGCTTATCTGCGGTTGAGGTCCCTTCAAAAGCAGCCTCAGATTTCTCAGTTTCCGCACAGTCCTGCTGTCTGCTCTGCCCAGTTGCTGGGGACGCACGAGAAGTGCTATCAGTTGCACAGGAAACGGGCCCCGACCCTTGTTGCTCCTGCCACTGCATTTCGGCTTCACTTTTTAACCGCTCTAACATCAGCAACACCGGGTCTAGCGGTGTGCGCTGCAATCTGAGAAGTACTTGGTCAAATCCGATGACGAGGTCCTCCTGCGCCTTCGCCTGCTGATGCAGCCGCAACTTGAGAGCCTCAGCCCACTTGAGCGCGAGCTCCGCATGCCTCATCAAGGCATGAATGACAACATCAGCAGCCCTCTGTTGCCGTCCAAGGCGTACGTGGAGATCAGCGGCAACTGCAGCAGCATCTCGGGACATGCATAGGACAGGGACCGCTGCAATTATGTTGCTGCCGAAAGACCTGAACGATGCATCACTATCAAGGAGCGCGGCGGCCCTGAGGGCTTTTAGTTCACCACTAGCAAGTCGCTGCTGAGATGGAGCCGACGGGAATCCAAATCCCGCGCTTGAGCATGCGCAGTTTAGATCAGGGTCGTGCTTCTCTCCAACATCAATTGTGCGCCCTACGCCTAATGATACTGCTTCGCCAGTCCTTGCTGAAGAAGTAACAGCCCATGCCTGCGTCTTCTCCAATGACGTCTTAATGTTCGAATCAAAAGCAAAGGGAGCTTCAAGTGCACTGGATGCTACGTGAAATGTTTGTTCTCCTACGGCAGCTGTTACAGCTGTTGCTTGTGCAGGCGGCGCTCGTGCTCCGCTGCTGCTGTGCCCTAAGCACAAAAGCAACTCTGGACGAAGAAAAATGAGCGACAGAGAACCCTGTAGTTGTGGGAAGCTGCTGGCGTAGTTGCCGCTGCTGCTGCCCGTGTGTTTTCCTTGCCCCGCTGCTGAGGCTGCTGCCTCCGCTGAAAGGCTCCTTCCCGTAGCTTCTACAAAGCACAGACACCTCTGGGGTTCCCTGCAGTCCGAAGTAGTAGGCCGTTTCCCGTTAGTGTGTTTACCCTGATCTTTTACTACATCTTTATCACGTGTAAGGGGTGGAATACTTGGGAGCAGCTGGTGGATGTAGCGGTCAAGGCTCAACCACGAGGAAGTCCCTGCTCTCTCTTGGGAGCAGGACAACCGAGCATCCTGCTTTCTTCGCGCATTACTCCCAGAATGACTATGTGGCAACACAAACCGGAACGCCTCTCCAGTCAGTGCATCCAGTAAGACCAGCTCTTTGGAGCTCTCCGACTCCCCGTGGTCGGGAGGCACAATATGATTTGGGCCACTACTGCCACGAAAAGTACTAAGGCCCTTCATGGCTCTAGCACTGGCTATGGCAACTCCAAAAATCGTGCGTTTGCTGCACGACAGCAGCCTTTAGCTGCGCTGCAGCGGCTGCAGCGGCTGCGCGGACCACCAGTTGTAGCTGCTCACTTCATGAGGACTTTCGCCACCAGCACTTCCCCAAAAGAAGTCCTGAAGGCAATCAGTTTCGAAGCAAAAGTACCTGTTCACAGACTCTTGTGAGCGTCCTGCCGGTTCTTTGTGTAGCAGCGTTTGCTTCCTTCCTCATACCCAAGACAGAGTGGAAGTCGCGGGTGCTTCTCATGAAGCTTGCCTTGATCCACCTTCAATGCATCACGGCATTAAAACGACCAAAAGATACTCTTATAGTTGTTTTGTGTTGGGAAGGTCAGAGCACCTGGCTGTGACAGGACATGTGCCGAGCACACCAGTGGTCAAGTCTGCAATACAGTAGTTGGCACCCATATAGGCGCCCCTACTGCTGAAAACAAGAGAATAGACATATTTATTCTCTTTAGAAATCTTTAGTCAGACAAAAATTTTATTTGTGTTTTTCCGCAGCTGAATCCTGGTCACAATCCTCCCAGATAACAGCGCATGCCAGTCCCCCTCCTGCTCACTGTATGTCACAGTCCCGTTATTTGTTACAAATCAGTACCATCCCAAACCACATGAAAGCTTTTGAAGGCTCAAACTGTTACACTGAGAAGGAAAGGTGAGAGCGAAGAAAGTTCCTAGTCCAAAACCTCTGGCTGTAGCATTCGGCCAAGCACGGTATCGCGGCTGACGAACTATTCAACTGAAATCCTACAGCCGCAATAGTGGCATTGAAACAAGGGCACCACATTGCGCCTTTGTTCAGAATATGATAGCAGGTATATCCGTGCTGTCGTGCGCTGGGTGGACACAAACTTGCGAACAGGTGAGGACAAGTGACCGTTCACATAATTGTGTATTTTTAAGGAGAATGTACGCTCATCGGTTTCAAGAGGAATAAAAGTATTCTCACGACTAGCAGACTGTGCGCAGGCTCTGCAAAGTAAAACGGGAAATGGAATAAACCTTCCAAATCATAAAATCCTGAGTAATTATTAAAAAAGACCGATACTCGGTACGTGAGTACCAAATTGTGAAGCTTGCGATCAAGCTATTCCAGAAGGGCAGGAATCCCTCTAGATAGGTTGCTCGAGCCTCACTCATGTGCCAGGTACCACACCCGCAGAACGGTGCGGCAAACAGGGAAGGTTATTAAAAGGCTCAGAAGTATGGATCTGTTCGTTTGAGCGGCAAATCACTCTGCTGGACTTTAATTGGAAATGTGGCCCTATATCTATGCTGATTTCCCTTCTTTCGTGGTAACATACGAACAGTTCTTATCCGGTAGGTATCGTTCTCATGCTGAGCAAAAGCATTGGCCTTCCCCAAGTTCTCATGATGCCCACGAATGCCCTATACGCTATAAAACCGCGCCTGAGCGCATGTTGGCTAAATTGATCTAGCAGATTCCACATGTGTAGTACATGTACGGCTACTCGGCCACTGCTGTGTTGCACGAACCCCTGGGATGTTTCGTAGGAAAAAAAAAGCACAACACAGACAAGGCTATTCATTAATGGCCCTCCTCACTTCTTTTCCAAATGAGAAATCACGCACGCGCTAGCCTTACCGCCCACAATAAATGCGGTGGCTTCAACGCGGGAGCGACCAGCGTAAAACCTTCTCCTCAAGATCTTCCTCGTCCAACTCAAACAAGCTGTTTCGAACACTGCACTGCAGCACGTATTCGCGTTTGCCCACTACGAACCTTGTGGATGCGCCTAAAGAGTAAGCGGAGCATTCAGACGGTCATCGAGGCCGTTTCAAAACGCCATGTTCAGCTGCAGCTGCCGGCAAGACATTTTACGGTAGCATAAACTGACAAGGCTCTACCGAAGGCTACAACAGGTGGCTTCAGCAAGAGAAAATGAACGGAAAGCCTTAATATCTATGTGCAACATATGGCTTACGTAATGTGGAGCGCGCCTCTGCGTCCTGCATCAACGTCCGGACTTGATTAAGAAGAGAAAAATACAGGCTCCACGTGGCTGCAGCTGCTTTCTGCACAGTGAAAACCACAGCCGGAGTGGCCTTTCAGATATGATGCTGCTAGCTAATCTTGTACGGCTGTGGCGGTTTCAGACAAATGGTCTACGAAGGGTCTGGCATCCTCTTCAGCACTACTGAGCTCGGCAAAGCTGCGCTATTAAGCAGCTCACTATTCTGACTTCGTGATCCGGAGATTGCGGCTTAACCTGATGGCAGTTTCACAAGTAGAAGCGCTGGTGCAGAGCAGCAAATACGTTCCTGTTTCAAATGATATTAGTATTTTTAATCAACAGATCGGTGAAGAAAGCAATGCAACGCAATCTAGGACCTATCCAGGAAGAAAAGTGAGCCTACTGGTTGTTGCTGCAAAAAGAGCAAACGCACACACCGACACATGGGTTCGGTATATTAGCATACACCAAAAAAGGGCTCATCAATGAATGTGCCTGCGCCGAAGAATATGATTCAACAAAGCTCATTTGCAAGCAAACAGCCACGCTGAGTTCACTGCCCACGCTGTGCTAACCACCGCGCGAGGGGCGTTGACACTTGCAGCACTCCTCACTTGCTCCATCGCACTTACACCAATTGTGATTATACAGTGTAGGTTTTGTTGCTCTTTGTCGGCGAGCATACGTAACAATGAACTGCACGGCTTTACTGGCAGTATTCTACATATGAACTTCCGGCAGTATCATGTCCCATCTTGTTGCGTAGACTGGCTACTGTGAAGCTTGATCTCTTATGCTTGATTTGTTTATCCTGCTTACGATGATGGATCCCGCAGTGCTTAAGCAGTTTGTTACAGCTAAAAGCCCACCTATTTACACAGAAACGTACCTCTGCAAGGTCTTTGAGGTGCATAGGGAGAGGCGGGGGTTCACGCAGTGGAGGTCGTTTTGCCTGAGGCCAGTGGGAGCACCATTGCCTTAAAGAATGCGCTTTAAATTGCGGCAAAAGGCCAAAAACCATCATTCCGGAGTCGAACACAAACTTCTTTAAAACTATGGGTGTACCGAAGTGCAACTGAAAACAATCCGTTCTGTAGATACAAGAAAGAAGAAGGCCTTTCAGCGCGGCCCCGTTTTCCACGAAAGCTACCCATTGCTGCTGGGCATATACGCAACGGAGGATGAAACGTCTTAAACTTGAAGAGTGGCGCTGAGTAAAGCACAACATTAACCTCGGCTTGCCTCCGTATCCAGTGATTCTCCGTCCTGCAAACATTTTGGCACCCCAAGGACAACTTGAAGCTTGCAGTCCGTGATGTGAAGCGATGCGTCACCAGCGTCGTGCAAGCAATGCACGCACATCAGCAGCACATGTGTCTAGTGCTCTGGATGTTTTCTACAGAAGCGCAAGGACGACGGCTTGAAGACTTGCCTCTGGGAGCTCGGCCAGTGAGGATTCGCCGAGAGACGTCTGTTCCATAGCACTCGCAAGCAGAGCATTATAAGGCATGAAGTGAAGAACTGGTAGAAGTGACCCTCTGATTTGGGTTAAGAGACAGCTGAAGGATGCTGCTTGCCGAACGGGGACCACTGAGCCACATCTGACGGCATTATCTTGTCGGAATTAACAGTGCCTCGCAAACAAAGTGGGTAGTGACCCACCTCCTCAAGATTCTGCAGTAACACAAGAACAACACGTCAGGTTGCTCTTAAATTAATGCGAGCGGCTAGCTTTCAGCAATTTTCGTGTTGCCAATTCTACCACAGCATGCGTAGGCATCTTGATGAAAGCTATCTTCCTGAAAGTTTGCCACTTCGTCATAGCTCGTCTATCCCCTGGACAGTTGTCTGAGTGTGCACATTAGCAGCGAAATTTAGCGTGGTGGCAGCCACTACATTCAAATTCATTTTGAACCACATATATACTGTTTGATTGATAACAAAATTTGTGTCAGCATCTACGTGCAGCTAAACGATTGGCAACAAAATTTGTGTCAGCATCTACGTGCAGCTAAACGATTGGCATATTCATTCTGCGTTCTCATATGTCATAGTCACAAAAGCCCACAGCCAAAACCATCTTCCTGAGATCCGGGGAAGAAGTCGTCCAAATCTTCCGACTTAAAGCACTGCGTCTCTTGCTTCGCGGCGATCTCTGAGCGTCGATAAAGCACATATACTACATGATAAGTTATATGATTTAATTGGTCTGACCAACATGGAATTAAGTGGAATGACGCTGAGACCAAGCTCTTCTAACTGCTCGTCATAACACGACCAGCGTCTCACAAAGTTAAAAAAAAAGAGACTGTTTTATCAGGATACTACAAGGCTAGCGAAAGTTGTTTTCTCTCAAGATGCTGTATACACTCTCAGTGATACACTGTAACGGAATACCGGTACACAGACGGTAACGCGTAACGCACTATGTCCACTTCGGAAGTAAAACGGCGCTGCAAATCCGTCAAGCCAGGTTGGCCGCCACTTGAATGCTGCAGTTAAGCAAAACTCGCAATTAGTTACTCATGCATTTGCACGGAGCGCAGTGTGTAGTAGCGAAAGTTGTTTTCTGTCAAGATGCTGCATACACTCTCAGTGATACACTGTAAGGGAATTCCGGTACACAGACGGTAACGCGTAACGCACTATGTCCACTTCGGAAGTAAAACGGCGCCGCAAATCCTTCAAGCCAGGTTGGCCGCCACTTGAATGCTGCAGTTAAGCAAAACTCGCAATTAGTTACTCATGCATTTGCACGGAGTGCAGTGTGTAGTAGCGAAAGTTGTTTTCTGTCAAGATGCTGCATACACTCTCAGTGATACACCGTAAGGGAATTCCGGTACACAGACGGTAACGCGTAACGCACTACGTCCACTTCGGGAGTAAAATGGCTCCGCGAATCCGTCAAGCCAGGTTGGCCGCCACTTGAATGCTGCAGTTAAGCAAAACTCGCAATTAGTTACTCATGCATTTGCACGGAGCGCAATGTGTAGTTTGCCAACTAAAAATGCGGGCTGCAAGCCTAATCGACGGACTGGGCCTTCTGTTCCCGTTATTCGTGAGTGGAGACAGTTCCCTCTAAAACCAGGAAAGTCTCATGACTGTAACTTTTAAGCATGCAGCATACACGTTCTGAGTAGGCCTACCTCTGAAGACTTTGCAGCACCTTCAACTGAACTGGGAAAAATTCCTTCAGTGGATTGCTGTGTCTCTTCCGCCTTTGGCTTCGATAGTGGCTCTTCAAATACAGCCTGAAACCGCATAAATAGGAATACGCCAACTCTGCGTAGTGTGCTAAGTTGCGAAAATACACTAGGCAAAACTTGGCAAGCAAGTGTTAGGTCATAAGCACAAGGCGGAAACAAGGGGCAGAGCCATTGTCTCCTTTAGCCATGCGAAAGCGTGTGGGGTCCATTAAGGTAAGAATATTTTTCCAAGCATCTCTTGGGGCTAATGAAAGGTGTTGCGTGACCAGCAGGCATGAGTTTTAGCAAGTGTAGCACACGACCCTACTTGGCAGCGCCTCCTCGACAATTTTTACTCATGCAAGAATAATGTCCACAGAGCAGCTCATCTACACTAACAAGACAATCGTGCATATTTCCGCCATCGTCTGAGCAAGGCAGCTCCATGGGTGACTACGTAATACCGGAAACGTGTTACGATGATGGCCTCATGCCTGAAACCTGGCTCGTATGTATGTTCAAGGCGCTTTCTTACCTCTGCTGAGCTCCTAAGACTGCCCATCTGCTTGGCTGCAGTCTCCGTTTCAAGCTCATCCTAACAGAAAATATGTCACAAAAATTCAGTGCGTCTCGTACATCCTCATCATGCATTTAAGTCTACACGACAACATGGTTAGCAAAAGACTCGACCACTGGAACGAACTGTGCGCAATGGCAGCTACACTCATATTTTGTCCTAAACATCAGCTTATGTGACAGCGGAACTGCAAATATCATAAATCGACATTCTTGGGACATGCCTCTGACGAGTCGTCGTCCCAGTCTGCTTGGGGTGCCTGCGAAACACACCAGTCCATGCCGACGAGACTCCAACTTGAAAGCCGGCGCCATGTTCAAGCAAGGATGTGCATTCGCTAACGCAGTACTACGGCGTGTGTACCCACAACTGCCCTACGTGAAAGTAACAACTATGACACTCAAAGGCGGAGAACGAATTTTTCGTGTATATTTCGCGACGTTTCCTCGGGCGCGCTGTGTGTCTACGTGCTTCACCTTGCCGCGTTTCTGAGTGTCTGACAATCGGCTGGAATCTTTACGTGTTCTACTCCTCGAAAGTGCCAGTCCTAAACTAGAGGAAAGTTCGCCCTCATCCTGAGAACAAAGGTTCCAGTCGGAGCACAGCGCATTGCAGCTTGAGCACAGCTGTTTTGGCTGCACTCATCTTCACTAATTAGCACGAACTTGCAGTGATGCATGTTCATCATCTCAGCAGATGTGGCACCTAAACGTTGCTTGAAAAAGGTAATGAATTTTGAACTCGAGGGCTAGAAAGCTTTTCATCTCGTGCTCGCAGGCAGGCAAGCATATCAGCTAGCATTTCTAGGATGCCCGAGAAGGAGCAGCTGAATGCAACACGACTCAGGAGAGGACTCATGGCTTGCCTCTGAGTCCGGAGAATCTGAGAACGGGTCAGAGCCTTCGTCACTCCGTGGCTTCTCATCTTCTTGCTGCGATGGCAATGCAAAGGCACCCTCAGGAAAGGTGAATCATTTGTGACTGCAATTTTCCCCATGAGGCAAAGAGAATTGGGGCAGTTTACAGCAGCTAAGCGCTCGTCAAATGATGGCTGAAGCAATATGACAGATCACCAGAAGATAATGAAGAACTGGAGCTGTAAAGCATGCACATTCCACGGACTGAAGTGCACACCCTGCATCCAAGTGCTTGCAAGAGAGACCCCTACAAAACGATATCCTCGGCAGTTACCGAAAAGCACTGTTGGTGGGATTTTTAGCCACATTTTGCAACACAAAACAAATGCTGTTGCGCGAGGCCGCAGATTCCACTCTTCTGTTTCTTCTCATTAGGCATATTCTAATAGACAGTGGACGCGACTTGAAGACAAAATATGCTCCTGAGTTGCACCAGGGATATGGCGCGTAGCAATCAAATACCAACCATGACCTGACAACTCACCTCTTTTGGTTCATTCTGTATGGCTTGGGGAGCCAGCTCTTCTTCTTGCTGCACTAGACTTGCTCTTGATACCCGGAGAGCATGGCCCTCGCCCCTTGGTGTAACCGCCGTAGGTAGGTTCTCCTCAGCCTGATAAGAACATAGGTGAAATACTGCAAGGACACTGCATTCAGGACAGACAGAGACTGAGTGACTGCACGTCTGCTACAAGACTGCTATACTTCAGCGCGTCTTCAACGTCGTGGAGTTCCATTTCCTAATAAGTTTCGGAGTTTCGCCCCGTCCGAAAAGTGGCGCAGCCCCCAAATACAACGGCATGCCTTCTACTCCAGTGTTTAAGACTCCTCCGTGCCAGTGAATATAGGTCCTTGAAGTATCAGTATCGCACTCTGCAACCAACGCCTACAGCTTCTTGGCAAACTACACTTGGGATATATTGATTTTATGAAGTGCACCGCAGTTGAAGATGCCACTTGCCTTACGAAGTTCCTCCCTTTGTAAATCCGGCCGCGGAGGCTGTAGCACAAGAACAGAGCCAATGCATTAGGACAAAAGAACGTGTCAACTGGCCAATTAGAAACAAGGCTTCTGCAGTGCCATGAGTCGCCCTGTATCTCGAGCTCTTCCTATTGAGGGTAAGACAAGGTGCATTTGCCAGAAAAAGCGGCAAGCCCACTTCGCTCAGCAGTACGTTTCCCACACTTTCCAGTCATTTGCCAGCTACCAGAAGGCAGGAACAATGCTAAGCGCTCCTCTGTAAGGTATCAGTCAAGGTGAGCAAACACCTCAAAGGGAGAAACAACCATGCAGCGAAGCAAACTCAGAACTTTTGGGAGCAGGGAATCACGGAAATATGTGAACTGAGGAGTAGCCTTGTGCACAAGGTATCGGCTTTCCTTCCGTGCAAATAGAGAAATTCCTTTTTGAGTTGCTGACAGAATGACACCACGATGTCTGTGCATGAAGTACACTGATGCCAGAATCGGCGTTAGTAAATAAGCCGCGTTTGTGTTTATTATAAATATTCCCCTGAGCTAGACACAGATGTGCTTGCCATTCGTAAACAAGGCATGATGGAAGGCTTACCACTGGGCCAACTTCGATAATATCAAACTGGAAGCACAGGCCGTGAGAAACTATTTTTTGTGATCTAGACGCTGAAAATACGAATAAACGCATAGGTACGCACCGCAGTGAAGCTAAACAGAAACACGTCGACGCACCGCAGTGAAGCTAAGCAGAAACACATCGACAAAGGCTACCGAGTAGGGGTTGTAGAAGTTGCACAGTCGTGTCTACCGAACTGCTGCTGTCGCGTTATCCAATGAATGTGAGGCTTTCAGCGTGCTGCAGTATCTAAGGGTGGCGCATAAAAGTTGGCATGATGAACCGACAAACTGTAGAGCAATAATTAGTCCGAAGCGTTTGTAGGACCTCCTTCGTCGCAAGCTGTAAGCACGAACGTACAATCCCAACTCAGACCTTCGTGAAAACGTGGAAACCATGACAAAATGTGCCTGTAGTCTATTTGTTTCAATAAATCCAAGGCTTTTTAACAAGGCTTGATAGAGCAGGATTATGAGATCTAGCGCATCGGAATTACTGCAGCCTTTTCGCTGCCAATAAGTGGGCATTCAAGCCTATTCCTCAGACACACCGAGTGTTCTGATTTCGCTGTTTTCTTCACTTTAGGCGTCGGGGCGTCAATTCTCATTACAGTATATGAGTAGTCCTATCAAGAGAAAGGACAAGGGCAAAGAGAGGCAGTGTTCTCCGAGAATGGTCCTTGCCAGAGCCAAAGTAGGGGACTGTGATGATTTGAAGTGCTGCTGCGCGCTGCTCGTGAAGCGTACCTGACATTCCACATCGGGTTTACCTTCTGCAAGATGGCGGGATGCCCAGTCACTTGGCTTTTGCTTGAGAGAGATAAAACAGCGAAGAAGGACGAATGCTATGGCAGCTATCACCGCAGCAACAATTACTCTACCAAGCAAGCCCCCTGTGGACCTCCTGTGATACTCCTTAACCTCATATAAATCTGACACAACGAAATCAGTAAGAGGAACATCGTTAACCTGCGTAGAGGGGTAAGCTTGATCTGGAGCAAAATTGAAGGAACTGTCGTTCCACAACGGGGAGGCAGCGCCATTTGCGCCCACCCACAGTCCTGCCAAGCAAGCGGCGTACACCTCAACGATAAAAAACATGTTCGGGGGGCTCCAAAACAGCCCCATGATATCGGAACCCTCAAAACTACACAGGGGATTCCTGCAGGCCCTGACCGAGCCAGCAGGGGGTTCGATGGCGTGCCCGTGTTTTTGTGGGGAGTGAATGAACTAGCAGTAAAGAGAGGAAAACAGAAAACGGAAAGAATTCAAATATTATTTCATAGAAAGACTGAATAGAAGGGGAGATCCTAGGCTTGGGAGTGGCCGCGATCGGGTTGTTTTGCACGTGAGTCCCCAAGAGCTGTGCCGCCTTACTTGTTCACCGCTCTCTGGAGGGTCAAATCCGTACGTATTTCGCCCTCATAATCGTAGATGATAATTTTATTAGCTTCCAGAATGTTTCACGCATAACGTTGTGATTGATGTATCAATGTGTACGACGGCCAACAGCCAGTGGATCCTGCTGCTGGGTTCACGAGTACCACACAGTAGTCGATTACGATGTTTCCTACAGTGCCAACCCAGACGTTTAGAAACATCTTTGACCCTTCAACAATTTACATACGAACTACATGCTACTGGGCCTTTTGTTTGAAAGGGATGGAGTCAGTAGAAGGTAGGTCGTGTAATGCGGGCTGATCGTAAGGCAGCTCCGTCGCGGTTTCGAGCTATCCCATAGCGCTTGACGCTTATCTATGTAGGTTCGCATCAGTAGCCGGTTAAATTTTCACCTACACAGGTTTTCGGTTGAATCTGAGGTGTCTAGATAGCTTGTACAATACTTCTCCGAGGCCATTCCTGCAAAAATTGCACTAATCGATGGAGCCATCGGGCCCTATGAATACAGTGCATGTGTGTACATACAAAGGTAAGTCACAAACATGTGACACTGTACAGCTTTAAGCAATGTAATTAATTGTTTTCTCCATTTTTGGGGGTGCGAGGGTCTAGCTGCCCTGATGGAAGGCAGGATGGCCCGTGGGGCCAGCCTCGGGAGCCTGTTGCGGATGTGGGTCAGCGAAACGATCACGATATCAAAATTGCTACATAGACCTACATAGAAATATCTATGGCGAGCTATAGTGCTTAGAGAAGAGGGCAACTAGTCTGTAAGTCAGAGGGGATTCAAAGCCCACCTTGTCCACGGCTGGCAACAAAAGCATCTGAAACTGCGGAGGCTGTTTTATTTAAATTGCCAAGTTCTTCCTATTATATATACTAACATATGCTGTGCATAAGGACAGATACATTCTTCGTGGCTCAGAACGCTGGAACAGGACAATGCGGTAGAGGTTACCTATACCTGGACGTGCAGCCCAGGAAGCGCGGATAAGACGGGATTTCTTCTGCCAAATTATTCTTTTATCCTTGCTTTCCAAGCTCTATGCCCAGGACTCCAACGGTCGCTTTGTACCCTGAACTTTCAATTCTTGGTGGCTGCTAACAATCTGTGTGGACGAAGAAAATAATGCAAGTCATCAGCAAGCACGCAAAATCTGCACTGGCAGCGGGCTCTGCTAATTGGCTGGAGGGGCTAGGAGTTTGAAAAAAATATGTATTCTTTGCTCTATAGCAAAAGCTGTTGGGCTGTGTTAGGTCGCACTAAGTTTTACTTTGAGGGAGAGAGTTAAACAAGCGGAGGAAGTGTCAGCAGTATTGCGACATGTTGACCAGTTCATTCTTGGATGCCCGTGTAGTTGGCGGGTCATGAGCAACGCGCTATCGCTGTCAACTGCTTATTGACATTTGAAGAAAGAACAGTTCAGGATAAAGAGTCTTGCTCTTCAGAGTTTAGCTGCTCGCCACTAGCCAGTGTCACTTTTGAACGCCAGCTCTGTAACAAGCGGTGTCCAGCCCAATTCTTAAATAGTTCCCCTTGTCGGCTACATAGGTGTCTAGTGGTCTTTATGGGACAAATATATCAAACTATGGGTTGAAAAATGCATATTTTTGCTCTTGTGGGGCCCTGAGTTCTTCTGTCTCACCTGGTGTGCACATTAATGCTGTCAGCATGAGTGACAACAACAGCCCCAATTATTCCCCTATTTGCTGGGCATCATAATCCTGTTTTGGTTTCAAGACAGAAACGTGGGATAAATAGGATGCTTTGGGTGCGAATGTGAAGCACCAGGACAGTGGGCCTGGCGGAACTCTAAAGGACCCCAAAGCCCCCAGCACAGCACCGTGTAGGTCGCTCCACGCCTGCTCGACACATGGGTTTCCTTTGCTCAAATTCCACTAGATCGCAGTACAGCTTCTTGCAACTCCAGTGTCGACAATTACTACTGACAGGGAAGGCTTCCTGTCTCCATTGGCAAGGGTCTCAGCTTATTAACAGTGCCTGATATTTGGCCAACCTTACAGTGCCACAGCTCAATAAAAGGATTAAAACACAGAGGTTGAGCCACGAAATGTTCGTCCTACTTTCCGTTTTGATTTGCCTTGCCTGCGAACGTGTAGCCACGGCATGTAGCGAAGCACGCACAGCAGAAACTTCGAGAGGCGGCAACAGAAAGCGTCGCGGCACCGCCTAGGAAAGTCACACAACGCGCTCACGATACAATGAATATGAAGAAAACAAAACCAACAGCAGACACATAATTTTCTTTCACTGCCAGGAGAAGTTTCGTTGAAGTGGGGAAAGTTGTAGCGCACAGCAGAACAATGTAGCCCAGAAGTGGCCTTTAGGGCCATATAATTCAGAATATGCAGATTGAAATAATAAATCGAGACGTGATAAACACGCATCTGAATTTAATTAACTGGAACTAAGATCTGCTGTGCTCTGCAGCTACGTTCAGGGCTTAGGGCTGTAAGAGGCACTGAAGCTGCAGTGCAGCAGCCCGGGGGAAAGACTCGGGGTAAACAAATATATTTCTGGATATTAGGACCTACAGTGACATCGCGCGTACTATCTGGGAGTTCAAAGCTCGTCTTTAGGGTGCTGTGATATGCATAAACCTATTTTTTACCAGAACAGGAGAGACAAGGCGGGGCAAAGCTGGCTCACCTTACCAGATTGGCAGTGACCCTGTAAAGTGCTAAAACTCTGTGCCGACGGCCGGCTCTGGCATAGCAGACGAACTTCACCATTCTTAAATGCTAAGTAAAGTGTCTGAACTTCCAAAATATGCTTTTCGCTTTCTGTCAGAAGGAGCAAGCTAGTCAGCCATGACTTCTAGAAGTGCACGTGCGTTGGCCAGTCTTGATGATGTATGCGAGAGGCAGCTGGGCTTGGGCCACAAAAGCGCCAGGGTTGCAAACATAGGAATGCTTGAATTCGGGCTTAAAAATACTACTGAATGATATATCAGGGCGAAATTCAATACAGAGGCCAGGCAGGAGCATTCACCTATGAGGGCTGGCCCGAACATAGACCCTCAACGGCAATGAAGCTTAGAGCCATGCTGTAACTTACATGTTTGATCTGGACGGCAAAATGTGCACTTCACGTATCCTCCGACCAGAGAACCCCTCACACTCTTCCAGAGCCAAAAACATGACAATCGACACAGGCATTCCTCAGCTCTGCTGCTGAAAAACGCTGCGCTATATATTTGGGAAAGTGCCTCTCCCCGAATAATGCCACTGGTAAAGTATCTCCGGGCGGAAAGAAGATAAACGCGCTCCGAGGTCTGGTGAAGACGTGGTTTTAACCGGGAATATTTCCTCAGTTGGATACAGAAGAGACGGCCATTTGTAGCAGAGTTACTCACCACGGAATTAGTGTGTACAAGAATGCGTGAAAACATTCATGATTGTCGAAAGTGAAGCTAACAATGAGAAGTGATCGTTGCAGAAAAGTCACGGTTGCTCGGGAGCGTGCAGGTACAGGTAAATGGTGGCACTTAGCACAATAATAGAATGGGACTTTGCTGGCCGGCCAGATGAATCTGCAAATTTGCAATACAGTGTAGTGAATTTTGAGAAGTAGGCTCTAGAAGGACGCTGTAATTTTCCAGCATGCGAGAGTTCATGTAGATAGGGATACCAAATGCCTGTTAATAGCTTTGTATCCCAAAGGATAGGCTGCTACGTAGCGAGCAGATTACCCTCGTGGACAAGCCACTTAATTTAAAGCTCTGAGGTCTCTAAGCTTTCCACAAGTAAATTACTTCCTTTAGATTAGCTGCAGCTGCATACGCGCCCTAGAAGCCTTGCCCCCTGGCAAAGCTCGACAAATTTTAGTTCGATATATCCTAGTTCCCCGATGGAGTATAGTAACGGGCACTACAGAAAAAGTGACATTCACACGGCTGTAGCGCTATGCGCTACAGAAGCCGTTACGCACTCAATATCGGAGACCGTAGTGCTAGGCATCACTGAAGCACGCATTACTCAAGCAGCGGGATACCCGTTGACAGGAAAAAGCCGACCTACAGCTTGAAATAGTGGGTGTATTTGATACCGAAGAAATAAAATGGGAAAACTTCCAAGTAGTTTGGGTGTGCAAGCCCGGAAAGTCCTCCACAAGGGACCAAGCTACGTGCAACGCCGCATACAAACAGTCCCAAGCTCCTTGGCAGAGGCTAGTAAAGAGGAAAGACAGGAGCCACCGGAATGTATCAAGGCTTCTCTAAAATGTACAAATATTGCCGAAGGCTGCTTTCCAACCTACAGAACCCCTGTAGCATCCGCCAGCTTGTCTGTAGACTGGGAGCTGTGATGCTTACATATTCTAGCGATACCTCCGTACAAGTTCGAGCCTCACTGCAGTATATTAACGTTCAGTTGATAATCATAACTTGAGACTACCTTTGAAGTGTGTTCGGACGAAATGAAGAAATTTAGCATTGACTGTAGTGAAGCCCTACAGGAACATACACTGGCCACTATTGGGACAGACAGATAAAATAAGGATAGTACAATGAGAGCTAACACGGACCATAATCTCGAAATTGCTTTAGCCAATGGAAAGACTGGGATTTACTGCTTGTGTGTTCGAGAATGCGCAGCCCATCAAGCATGCGTTCGAGTTAACCCCGGGTCGGCAGTGGCTTGGCACAGTGTCTAATGTGACAAGCATAAACCACCAAGTACAAGGTACAAATTGATATACTTGGATGAACTTGTATGGAGGCAATGCTTTATTACCAAATTGTACTGTTCTTTTGTGGTTTAACGCTAACTTGCCATTGCTGTGCTTTCCTTGCCGAGCTCCTGGTGTGAGCTCACTGGACTTTGCAGTCCCAGAGTATTGTTGGGCAAGAATATGGGGGAAAAAGCTTTGAAATAGAATAGAGTAAACCTTGAATTAGCTAGAGAGTAGGAACTACTGAGCCAAAGGGAGCAAATAAAGCTCTTCAGTGGGTGTGCAGCAGTATTGACCCGTCGAGCACAGCTACATAGTGGCGCTACTTTCAACACCCAGTGATCCTCTTGTCTAGAACCCTACTTTGGAGTGGAATATTTCATCAGTTATGAATCAGCTTTATCATTTGCATATTTTTGAGAAAATATCATCTTTTCCCCCTAATTTTACACATGCTTCTACTCTTGTCAGCCAATGTGCATAACCACCACCCTCCCCTTTCTGAAAGCTACTGGCGCCCCCCACCCCGAGAGTTTGTGCCCTTGTAGGCAGTGCATTTGCCTTTCCTTATAGTTAATTATAATTTTTCATTATCCCCTGCATATCAAGCCGCCACTAGGGCTCCTTCTCACCCCCTGATTACACCGGGCAGCAGCACCCCTTCTTTGGGGCCCCTGTCTTGACTTACTTGACCCCCTTTGAAAGGCCTTGTTCGGCATTTTCTTGCCTAACGCACTACTTCTGAGTGAGAAAATCACATAATCGACAGGGGATGCCTTTACAGGCGTGTGGATGTACGCGGCTGAAGGAAGGGAAGGGGGAGCCAACAAGCGCTTACTTTCGCAGCGCAGTTCACGTAGTCCTCGAGATTTCCCAGTCAATTTTGCATTATCCTTCGTTTGGACCCGCTTTTTTCCTGGTGTGTTGCCCACAGTGAATGCCTGATAGTCTTCAGAGCCTCAGCTCTGATGATGCAAGTTCCAGGTGGCTGCCGCATCACTCTTTGTTTGACGCAAGCAGCCTGAGGATGGGAGGAGCACAGCCCTCTCTTCTGTTTCTCTTGTTACTTCCGCTGTCACAACGGAAATCACCTTCTGCGGGCTACCCTTCCACTTGGGCTGAACTAAACTAACAACCAACTGCGACACCCTGAGCCAGGGAGAAGCCAAAGACCAAATAGCACATCATCAGCACCGCACACACCTGCAGCAGAAATAGATATGGTGCGGAATGCTGACAGAGGCTCATTTGAGACCAGCCCAGAAACTCAGGGGCCCCTCTTCCCTCCCCATGCGCCCGCTTTTTTGAGGGGCCCCAGCGCTGTCAAGCCTCTTCAGGACCCTGTCAACAATAGTTCCTCTTCCGAGGCACACGGAGCCTTGGATCCTTCTGAAGGCTTGAGTGCTCCTTTCGAAGCAGCCAGGTGCGATGTTCCCATGGGCAGCCCAGACTTCAAGGGCCGCTGTACATCCCGGCCAACTGAGGAGCCGCCCCGGAATTTCCTCAAGTTGCCAGAGGCGGCGCCATGCGCAGAATATATCAGTCCGGCGTACCACCACTCTTCCGGGGCTTCAATTGAGTGCAGCTGGGAAAAGCTGCTGAAACCCGCAGTGCGCCCGCTGGCTAATGAGCGGCGTGGAGAGTCTTGGGCGCCTGAGGGAAACAGAACTTCCCTTCCCTGCTCTGTGGCATTGTCTCGCTGGTCTTCGACTGCGGAAGCTGCAACATGCAGAGAAGTAGAATTGAAAATTCTGAAACCCTCTTCCCCGGCTGTGTCCGCGGAAAACTCTCCTGGACTAGACGCTGCTTCGGGGCCCCCTGTTCTTTCGTTTGCCTCCATCCACGAGAAGTCCTCCCCAGGAAAACTTTTGACTGGCGGAGAATGCGAGTCTGGCGCCCGCGCAGATAGTCGCTTCTGCGCAGATGGCGAAAGAGAACTTCTGGACAACACAGGAAGTTCGGGGGCACTCATTGGGGGACCTAGTCGCCCCTGTTTGGTACTTCTTGATCTGGACAACACACTGATACCGACGGGATGGATAATGGCGTGCTGGCGGAAGATGCAACTATACTTCGGTCTGCAGCAGGCGGTTGCATGCATAAGGAAGGGGCTTGAGCAATCAAAGCTGGTTGAAGCTCTCAAAGCTCTCTTTGACGATCTCAGAAAACTGAGGGGAAAAAGACACACACAAATCGTTATTGTGACCAATGCGGGGCTGAGGACCGTCCAGGAATTCTACCTGCGCATGTGCCTCCCGGAACTGAGGGAACTCTGTGAGAGAGAGAAAGTGTACATCCACTCTACAGAGCACTTCGCGAGAAGGGTGGGACCCATTCCTCCCATGACGGAAGAGGAGGCTTTCTGCGAGTTTTATACTGCCCTTAAGGTATGTGCCCATTTCGTCTATTGCGTTCTCTCCCCATTTCCAACTATCGACCTTTCAGTGCCTCCTCTAGCTACTTCCTTCTCGTGCACCATTTAGAGTTTCCCCCCCTAGAAGGTGCCATTTTCAACTATTGCGGTGGCAAATATGAAGGCTAATGGCCGCGTCATTTGCATCCTTCGTAGTTTGTGCGTAGCCGTGTATTTGTGGATCTTTTAATGTGTGTTGGTGTTGTTTTGTTTATTTATTCCCTTCCATGTAAATAGCTCTGTATGTTATTTTCATTTTTTTCGAATCAAGCCTACATGGAGAGGCAGACAGGCTAAAGTTTCTTTGCTGTTGGTTTTGTCCGCTGTGTTGCTGCAGTACCACGAGTTCGATTTCGTAGTACAGAGATACTTGAACGCGCTCCTGTGCCAAACTCACATTCCCGTGCAGGGGGCCTCATTGAAAGATGAGGAGTCTCCCCTAGAACTTTATTCTAACCCCGTCGAACCTTCGTGCCCAGTAGAGGGGGACCCTTCTCCTCCCAGGCGATCTGCGCCTCCCTTCTGCAAGAGGGCCAGGACTTCAGCACAGCTCGAATCGTCAGTAGCAGCAGAAAGCAGAAGCGGCGGCAGAGGGCCTCTTTCTGGGTGCTGTGGCTGGTGCAACACTGGGAGAAGAGAAATACTGAGCTCTGTAAGTGAACGCGCCGCCCAGGGGAGCCAAATAGGTGAACCCCGCGATCTTTCTCCCTGCAAGGCCGAGTTGGCAAAGAACTCTTCTCGGCCGTCGCCGCTGCAGCAACCTGCAGCTTCCTCTTGCTGCGGTGGCTCTTCCAGAAGCGCACCAGCAGCAGCCATAGCACCGGCCTCCGCAGCAGAAGCACCGGCAGGTGGCGAAGAGGGCGAGCCCGTTGAGGGTCCGGCGAGTACCCCCTTGAGTTTGCGTGACCAGCTCCAGGCTGCTGCTGTTGCCTACTTGCAGCCTGGGGTGGGGAGGGGCGAAAGAAGTCAAGGACCTTCACCCAGCGAGAGTCCCAGAGGCTTTGACCCCTTTCCTGCGGACTGGAGATGTGACTTAATCAGTGCAGGAGACCAGGTTTGCGAAATCCACGCTGCCTGTCGAGTGGCCAGACACTTTGCTGGACACGTCAAGTTTGCCAAACTTTTGTTTCTGAGGGACCCCCAAGACCCGAGATTTCTGTCTCAAACGCCCACAAGGTTCATTGCAGTAAGACAGGCTATCTCCCTTCGTCTTGAGCGGAGCTTTTGCCTTCAGAAACGCTGACCCTCAGAAGACAGTACTGAGCCACAGCGAAACTGTGGCTGTATTTGATGAGTGCTGCAGCAAGTGGAGTGTTTGGTCTGTGCGTTCTGGTTTGTATGTCTGTTGTTGCCCGCAGCAACTAAACGAACTGCATGCGTCTTTGATGCACGTAATATCGTGCGACGAGGAGACTCTGGACGCGCAGGGGCATCCCCAATGGGTTCGCCGTGGCTCATTTTCGCAAGTCACAATTATCGCCCCTGAGAGGTTAGAAGCTCCTCCCCGCCATTGCTCTGCTGCGCGGGTACGACATGCATTTGAGTTTCTACGCAAGAGACGCACCAAGAGCAACAAGGCGGCTTCGAGCGGCCCAGTGAGGCTTCGGCAAGACCTATCGCCAAGACAGACTGCGGTAGAAGCCGAACGTGGGAGCCAGGCATTGTCCAGTCTCCCTAGCTCGAAGAGCCACAGCCTATCATGTCCGATAGAGTGGGAGAGGAACGCCGTAGCCAATCCTCCAAGTCCGTCCCCTGCATTGTGCCCCTTTCATGGCGCTGAGGGACGGCAAGACCTGTTTCTGCAGCCACGAAGAGAAGGGCTTTCTAAGGGCGCCTCTCAGTCACCGTGCGGGTGAAAGAGGCTGCCGGGCTACTCTATGGACCAAGGAGACCTTGCAGACTTCTGAGAGCTCAAGCCTCTACTCGGCTCTCCTCTGTGCCAACCCCTGCAGTCATGTGGCGGGGAACAAGTGGCCTATTTATGCCGTCTTCTCACTCCTTCTAATGCAGGAACGCCAAAAACAAAGTGCATACGGCGCATCATTCATACACACATAAGCAGCAATAGCCCGACTGCTGTTACGCAGTTGCACTATGAGAGTAGCGATTGTCGCAACTATGCGATTACAACGGACACACCATAGCAATGAAAATGGAGATCCTTAAGACATGCGCAAACGGAGAAAATGCTGACGCAAACACAGCATTGTTCATTTGGGAAGCGATCAAAGCGGGAAGCGATCAAAACGAGGCAAAGTCCATTTGAAACGGCGGACTGAAGGGGCCGGCAGCACATTAAACGGCCAAACTAAGTGGAATCTTCAATGCAGCAGTCAACCATAAGCGATGCCTCACGTAAAGTGGTGCTACTTTACGAGCAAATTCTGTCTAAAAGGCTTGTATTGCGACGGCGTATAAACAGAGCGGCAGCTGTTAAGCATCCAGTCAGGTTCGATGGCTATTTATCTTTAGATTCCAATTTTTCCGTGTACATCTTCCGTCTTCCACTGCTTTCTTGGACGCCTCAACCGTTCAATTGCTTCTGAGAGGTCGCCTTTATCCAGCAAATATGCTGCTGAGAGAACCCGCCAGTTTGCTGGGGCCCCTAAGTAAGTCTTACCTGAGGCTGCTACACGGACGGAAACTACGGCTTCTTTTATTTGTCCAGCAGCATGTAGATGCCAGCCGAGACTGGGAGACGTACAGCCACTGCTGTCACTATGTTTTCCAAATGCAGAAGCTGGGAGCCCACCAATTTTACTGAGGCACTCGCAGGAAGCAATTAGTCTTCGCAACTCGCATTCTTAGATTGTTAACTATAGAGCCGGAGTTGACTAATCCCGCATATGTCCACTACGACACCTCGGCCAGAAATGGAAGCAATAGAGGCCAAAATGTACGGCAATCGTTGCAGAGCAGTGGAAGCATTGCACGAGTTCTACTACCAAAAGCATGTCGCGGTTTTTGACAGGAGGCCCAGCAAATGCTGGATTCAGGTCTACCTGGCGCTTAGTTACGACCTGTAGATGTGGTCTGTGCATGGGTATACCTGTATGCAGGCGTGTAGGCACCTACATACATTGGCTGTATCTGCTGAGTTTACAGTGCCACTACCATATATACTTTGTTCCTGTCTCTAAGCAACTGCAACCCCATGTGCGCATCTGCATGCGCTGTTTTCTTCCTGAAGTTGTGCGAAAAAAACCCTTACGGCGATAAAATTAACGAGGTCTATGGAGGGAAAGCGGGCGGATGAGCTGCTGCCGCTGCAGCCCGTAGAAATGTTCTCGCCGCTCCCACATCCCCAAGAATCCTAAAGCACACGCTGTTGGCGTCTCTGTCTTGATATCCACTACGTGGACAGAGTTCTACATCTTTGTATTCGTTTTTGAGGCGCACAACGCACTGTTTATCTGCATATTATTGAGCTACTGACGCCCTTCCGCCTCGTAGGCTTGGGCCACGATGGACGCCTGCTGTTGGAACTGTTGGCTAGGCGCCTGAGAGAAGCCACTTGGGGGGGACTGGGAAGCCTGGGGAGTCATGGCTGGCTGCTGCGTGTCTCCAGTGGGGTAATAAGGAGACATACGTGCGAACTTTTCAACTTGCTGCTCAACATCATTGGTTAGCTCTGTCTCATGAAGAGCAGGCGACACATTGTTCACTTCAGGCTCGAAAAATACTGCCCATATGGTAGCTGCCAAGAGTGCCAGCCAGATTGTTAACGTGGACGCTCCCCCGATAGGAATGAACATCACAGAGAATTCTGCAACGAAAAAGGAGAGCAGTAGATAAAAGGAGGATATAAATGCACTAATCTGCAGCTGTCAAACCATGCTTGTGCTTAAGAGCTGTACTGTGCATAGTTTCAACTGCAAATAAATTGTGAAACGACCGAAAAAGCCAACAATAGCATGCAATTTTCAGGCGATCAAATTATCAAAACTAAAAGGTCTCCTTACCAACAATGCTGGCCAAGCCGAATAGTGCGGAGTTGATGTATGCGTGCAGGTCGCCAGCACCCTCGTCGTGGTAAACCTCCAAAAGGTAAGTCGCGGCGGCGTAGAGAGCCAGACAAACGGCGTGGAGGCAGCGAATGTATGAGAAGAAAAGACACTCGGGGCCCCCTTCTTTAAAATGGATGTACCACTTGGGCTTGTAAAACTTGGCAATGTACAGGAAGAAAATAAACTGCATGATGCTGCTCAACAGGTCCAAGAACGTCGCCAAACGAAGAATCTTGCTGCCAGAACGATAACCCCGGGCCCAGCTGACCACAAAACACAAAAAACGTGCACTCTCATGGAGCTACCTGAAGCCAGTCCGCCAAACGGCTGAGGTTTCTTGTGCCTCTAAAGCGCTAAACAGCCCTGTAGCAAGACCTCAGGTGTAACGGAAGAGTGTAGACAGCTCACCAGGCATCATCTGCAGCGATCGCCTGAAAGCAGACTAAATAAGTGGCCCCCAGCATGTAGAGGCCAGAGAAAAAAGCAAGGGCTGCATGGAAACCCTCAGAGCTCCTGGCTGCCTGCAGCACATGACATCACTCAGTTGAAGTCTGCACTAAAAAACGCCATGGAAAGTACAAAAAAGCAATATATCAATTACTGAGGCTTCTGGTAACCAGATTTCCCCGAATATATCGCGCTTTCTAGTGCAGAGAACGCCATGACCGCAGTAGAGAGTAGGTAGCTACGCGATCACCAAGCATCTCAAACAAGATCGGGCTTTGGGTATTCAGTGGATCAAGTAGGAGGCATGTCGCATGTGTTTGGGCTTTAAGGTTTGTGAGTGTGAGTTTCCACATCGCAAGAACAATAAAGAGGCAGGAGCTGACGCACCTCATTCATGCCCTGCAGCTCGTAGCCGAACAGACCAGAGCCTCCAGAAGCCCAGTAAGAAATGAAAAGACCACTCAGAGAAAAAAGCTGCAGGAGGAAGCCTCCACGGAGCAAAAAGCTGTTGCCATTGATGCTGCCGCAAAAGATTGCCCCCGGCAGATCGACGCAAGGCCCGCGCATGGCCGGTCTCGGGTCATCAAGCCCTTCTTGCCTCGTTGTGAACCACATATTCAGAAGAGTATGAATAAGGCAAATCTAAAAGCCAAATGATGAGTCCAACAAACAGACAAACACTGAACAGATTTCCTTCCAACCAACCGTGGCCCGGCCTCGGTCTAACCTGTCCAAGGAGTCCGCTGCCGACAGCGTGATGTCAAGGGAAATATTGAGCTCAATAAGTTCCTGACTCTTCCAGAAAACTGTACAACAATATAATGCATTAATATTCAAAAGAAGATATCGATAAATCGCATGTTTATCTGCCCAGAGAGCCCACGGTCTCGGCTGCACAAGCCGCGCTGAAGGCCATCGGCCCGTCGCCTGCACCCGGTGGCTAGCAAGGCGACAGCTGCTCACCTACCTCCGTCCCAAATAAGGCATACACGCTGCTTTTACTCACTTTTACTGTTCTTGATGTACATGCTAAAGGCTGTTCATCCTTGTACCCCAAAAACTCTACGAGCTGCCTCGCTCTACCCTAGACGGGCTCCCTGCTGACGTGCACTACAGCTGCCTTGCGCAATCTAGCACATCAAGCAGACAGCTCCTTCTTTTGGCTTCTCGCGGCGACGCTTTACTTTATAAAAAGAAAAAGCTTAAAATTTTGCCCCTTGGTAAGCGATATTGCGACAAGCATAGCCGATACTCCACACCCCACTTGGTCTCCAACAGCCACTTCACTGACTCGCAAGGAAAACAACGTTCGCCACCAAGCTGGACAGTCAACTAAAGAGAATAAATAGAACAGCTTCAATAATGAGGGGAAAATGGCTCACAGTTCACTGTCTAATGTGCGTACAAAGAGAGACGAAGCAGATTCACTTCCTCTTCACCACTTTGATGGAATCTCTGCTCTGTGTGCCACCCCTCTGTCTGTCGAAACAAGCCCGAAAGATTCAAGTTTCCAAATTATGTATTAGTAGTTTCTTGCTTTGCTCGTAGCCATGAAAATACAATGAGAGCGAACTTGCGTTGTTTGGCTTTTTTGAGCGCTTGGGCTCCACTCTGCGGGAATGCCGCCAATCTCGGTGGTGGCAGGCTCCGGCAGGCTCAGCGGAAACATAAGCGGTCGTCTCTTAGTCAAAAGCAATAATAAGCACCGATTTGGCAAATTAATAACAGGTACTTCGTTTAAAGTTGCTTCTGTGCTGACAGCCGCGGCGCAGCAACACCCCGAACAGCCCCTAGGGTGCTCGTAAGGTTGTGCACTGCAAGCCCTAGGTTGAGTGAATGCAGGTTTTCTGAGTTGCTTATGCCCACGTGTTGAGGGATTTTGTGGTGTGCTTGATTTCTGTTTTAAGTATTTACTGGGAAGCGGCGGGGGTTCGTTCAGACTCAACCGTTAGACCCCTCTGCAGAGAACCGCTGGTCCACCGTCTGCATCACTAGTGTAGTTCTTCCACGTGTTCCGTTTTACGCCTGCTTCTTGCACATCCAATCCATGTAGAAAGCTGAGTTCAGGTAGAGATGCATGAGGTTGTTTCTTCGGGGCCCACCCCAGCAGTCTTATTCCTCTAGTCCACGATGGCGCAGACACAGATTTCCTCCTCTCGCAAGCAGTGCGACTTTGCCAAATTGTACGAGCAACTGAGTTGCCCTCGAATTTTGTCGTTACTTAGTATTTTTTTGCAGAGAGTCGGGTACATACAGAAGCATTCGCTGCCGCAAGCCGCTGTCCCCTCTGTGGTCTTCTCGAGTTAAGTGCTGTGAGAGGATGCCACTGGGGGAGCCGTTGCTGGAGTTCATCGCCTGGGTTCGTTCGTGCAGGTTAATGGCGGGCTACGATTTGGAGCTCAACAACAAGAACACTCAAGACTTCAACGTGGTCTTCCACGGGCCAAAAGAGAGTGGGCGACACACCCCTTCGCCCTTCAGGTTTGAAGGCTTATCGGGTTTTTTTGCTACACTGCTTGTGATATGTGTCGACTACTGCTTCGGTTTTCTTTTTCTCTGTGGAGTCCTATCACCGGTTGCTGAGTGCCACTTCCGCTGCGTGGGGGTGTTCAGCAATATACGAAGGCGGTGTGTGGAGAGTACACGTGACACTGCCCGACGATTACCCCTTCTCTTCACCGTCAATTGGCTTTTTAAACAAGATTTTGCATCCAAATGTAGATGAAGCATCTGGCTCGGTTTGTCTGGACGTAATTAACCAAACTTGGACTCCGCTTTACAGTGAGTATTGTGGTGTAATCGCAGCTCAAGAGGGATTAAGTCCAGACTTCTGGCGGTTTTCTTGGGTGATCAGGCCCACCTGAAGCCTCTGCCTGCTCGGTTGTTGCGATTTTGCAGGCCTTGTCAACGTATTTGACGTGTTCTTGCCCCAGCTCTTGACCTACCCCAACCCTCAAGACCCGTTGAACAGTGAAGCCGCTTCTTTGCTCAACAGGGACAAAGCACAGTACGAGCAGAAAGTGAAAGGTTAGTTTTTGGCATGAGCTTTTTAATGTAACCATCGTGCCGCGGCGCTTGGGAGAATCTGGTGCCGCATGCGACGGGCTCGCGGCTGCATGCATGCAGAACACGTGAAGAAATACGCAAGCCGAGACTCTTGGGAGAAGGAACAGGCCCGACGGAAGGAAGAAGCTGCTCGGGAGAGAATGAGGGAGGAGCAGGAGCCTGAGGCTGGCGAGCTGTCGAGAGTGGATGACGAAGCAGATGGCGCTGACATCGACGACCTGTAAAGTATCGGTCGCAGATCTGCACTCGAGCTTACTAGCGAGAACGTCTTTGAGCGTTTCTGGGCTGTTGAGGCAGAGGCTAAGCGCCAGGCGTATTCCGCACCACGGCTTGAAACCGGAGCGAAGCAGACGCCGTGCTCGTGCCCGCCCTCGCCCAGTCAAGTGCCTCCCATTTGTTTCTTTGTTTGGTGTTTGGCCTTCAGCCTCTCCGGGAGGTGCGGTGGCTCACGTACAGGAGCGTGGGTGCTTGTAGCCGGCTGCTCTAGCAAGGGAAGGAGAGCACGCGCAATGGGCTGCGCATGCGTACCTTTCGAAAGGCTGCCAAGCACATTTGTCTCTGCATGCATATGCTTTATGGCACAAGCTTATTGGCCCTTGGTGCAGTGGTGACCGGCCGTGCACCGTGCTGGCCCACACTGCGTAGGGAGGAACGATCTTCGGTTACACGGTTATTATGTAGTATTGGTCTGTATGAATGTATCAGTGAAAGCCCTACCAAGCCGCACTCAAGAGAGCTCAGCCAAAGCCTTTTATGAACGGATGGGGTTGTACAGGTCATGGTGAATTTGCTCAGGCGGTAAAAGTCCATGAGACTTAGGTGGAGCAACATCCAGGTTTTACTTTGTTCGTCTTTACAGCAGCACTCCTGGGTGTTTACGATAATGTGTGTTGAGGTGTTTCGTGTGAAGATGGGTGATGCTTCCGTGAACACACATGTTGCAGTTTTTTGTAGTTTTTAAGCAATTTTCGGGCTTCTTATTGGCTGCAGCTCAATGCGCAAGTTAATTCCGCTGTTCCTGCCCCAAGAAATGTGACAGGTGGGTATGGCGCAGCCCCCAGGACGGTGCACAGGGGATGCTCCGTTAATATGTGGCTGCTTACAGGTTATGAGGCTAGAGATAGCAGTGAGATATGGAGTTGCTGCACGAAGCAGTAGAGCCCTCTCCTCGTTTGGGGGGGCCTATCATTGGTCGAGGGACAAGGGGCCCGGAGACTCTCCTTTGACTGTTGCGAGCGGCAAAGTTATTCGTAGCGACGGAAACAGCGCTTGTCTTTTAGTGCATTAGATGTTGCAAGTAGTAGGGGAAGCACGTACAGCGTACATCTGAACCAACCGTCATGGAGCACATACTTAGTTTTTCAGGGAAGTTGAACCAAGCAACGTGCAAAGTTTTGTCACCACGGTCGATAGTGGAGGTTCTTTATGACATCAGTCTAAGATGCATGCGACGGAATTTTACTCAGTAAGCTTCTGCTCGCGCCTCTATGACAGACAACATTAGCGGAGGAGCCATGGCAACGGAGTCGTGCGGGGACGGGCTATTAAGGTTGCACTTACTGCTTATAGAGCCAGGCACTACTTCTGAATAACGCGAGAGTGAGAAGAAGTTAGAGTTGGAAGCAGCTGAAGAGGAGGGAAGAATTGCGAGGGCTGCCCATGTCATTTCTTTATCAAGAAACATGTATCTCTGCGAAACAGGAGGGCTGGCAATGAGATCGTCGTAGTGCTGTATTAGGCAACAAGCACGCATAGTGCGTTTCGCTCAGTTGATGACTTAAGCCACTGCGAGGAGAGTTCCAGCAGTAGAATTCTTAGCATTTTTCCTCGTGGAATTCCTTCCGTCGGTCCCACACAACTTTCTTCTGGGAAGTTCCGACAGTTATTGTCGTGCAGCCGGAAGCACATTTCGCCTGTTCGGCGTCGCGTCTTCAGGGATACCAATGTTCCCCTCAGTGAAGTGCTTGCAAACAGCTCAAACAGCAACCGCTGGACTACGCAGAACTGCTTGCGTCTGTACACTAACCCATCTGTGCAGAAGGAACTTCTCTTGCCACCGTATAACTTTTTCCAGGCGCGTTCAATGAAATGTATAGCAAACAGATTGTACGACGGCTACAGACAGCCTCTTTCGAGGCTGTCTATACTATGTTGAGTCGCACCACAGATTGGGGCTGCCAAGTGCAACTGCTGGAAAACCAGGCTGAAGTCATTCCTTTTAACTGCCAAAGCAATAGCCCTTCCTCACGAGTGCAGCTGTGCAACTGCTAAAGATATCTGCCGATGTTACTAGCCCAATCCAAGCAGTTAAGTTCCTGGCTTCACCGTCTATAGAAGCGCCTCTCACCTTCGACATCTGGCAAACCAGCCACCTGGCTTCGATCAATGCATCACGCCTCTTGAATTTTTCCGAAGACCAGCTGATCTTATGCAGGCGAAACCGAATCGGATCGCAGCTAATCGTGGAGCGTGGAACCAGAAGCGTAAGGTTCTTCTGGCGCCTCGTTGGCTGATGGCACTGTCGTTGTTCTTCTGGAGAACAACGATAGTGCCATCAGCCCATAAGGCGCCTCCACTAAGAAGCATAAAAAGTCTAGAAGCTTACAAAGGCAGTGAAATACGTAAATAAAGCCGTAATCTTCAACAGCGCAATAGAGCTTGCTTGCTTGCCAAGTTAGTATAGTCCCAGCAGGACTGCTGGCGTAGGCAACGCACGCCAAGGCAGTCAGGCCCCAAACAGACGGCAGCCTCCCGGAAAGGCCGTATCAACTTGTGCGGAAGCTGCGTAAAATGAAAGAGACTCTGTATGAAGTCACAGACCTTCAGACTTATGCGATGGGATAAGATTTCGACTCAAAATTGATTTCAACGCAGACCTCGCAGATGCCGCCTTGAGGATCACCACTTCCTCATGATCCAGGTCAAACCTGTACGTCAAATGTTGCACAGCAAAAACTTCAAAATAAAACTTGGGTTTAAATCTAAATGATGATATTGAAGCAGCATAGTCACTTTCGCCTCACCTCCAGAATTCATCAGTTGACGCCTCTACGAGGTCCTTCAAGTGACGCAGAGTTCTCACTTGCTCGCCATTGAAGGCCACAACTTGTATGTTGTGCAGGTGCTCAAATCCAACTGCAAAAGCATCCCATCACAATTTCCGGGAAAGAGACAATGCAAGGACTTTAGGTTTATTCGAACATACAACAGCCAACATGCAGACGCCACAGGTCATTCATGTACTATTTGACGCGTCGTGTTGTGCTCCTCTCAGATGTCCGAGTGAACTCCAATCAGAACAATTGCAACAGCCGAGCACTCATGCTGGAAACCAAACGCACCGGTAATTTCATGAGCTAACACGTGAGTAAGGATGACACATTGCTGGCCGGGAAATTGCTGCATTCCATGCTGCCAACGATCCAACAGGCGAACCTGAACCACGAACGGAAGGATTTGTAAGCACAATGCGCGCAAAATGTGCAGCGTAGAAAGAGGCCAGCTTCGCGCGTTTCTGTTCTTGAAGAGCTCTTTAACGGGTAGGAAATTTCGACGACAGTTTTAAAATGTAAACACACTCGAACAAATACACCTTGATAGACAAATGAGTTGGTCTGGCCTAACGGTGCTAGCTGATGAGAACGAGAAAAACCTCATCACTGGTAGTCAGAATCGGACAGGCAACATCTATGCACGATATGCCGGCGTCGCGGCGGAAAGCGTCGCTAACAGCTTAGCCAACGTAAAATTATCCCTGCACCAGTGGTCCATAATTTCTGCTGCTCATGAAGATACAACAAATATCTGAGAGAAAAGGTGCGCACCGGTGCCCGGCTCTCGAAGTCGTCGCCATATTCGCTTTTGAGGAAGGGCTCGCTTAGAGGGACGAACACTAAGCCTCCAACAATTAGATACTCCGGGCGAGGGAGGTCGTTAGTAGCTGGAACCAGTAGCTGCACCGTAGCACAAAAACAAACAATGCGGTAAGTAAACAATCAACTATCCACTGGCAATTAATGCTACGAGCATCAGCAATTTTACATCGAAGAAGAACTACATACACCAACAGACACAAATGCAACCACAACCAACATCATTCGAGTACACCCAAAGCCTTCCATATCTTCTTTAAACGGTAAACCCCTGACACAAGTATGCAATCATTGAATTAAAGTTTTAAATCCCGAAAGATAAGCCGCTGCCTTCACTTTCCAGCTGGGTAATCTGCCGATGGATGCTTACATTAACCTTTCCAACTTCGTAAGAGACTTCAAGTTGCTTCCCTCTCCGCAGGATTGTGAGGGAGCATCTGTCTCCCACGAAAAGCTGGGCGAACAACCACGAGAAGAGAATACGCTCGCCATTCCGGAAGGAAACGCTTCCATCAGAAGCCACGCGGTTGCCATTCACAGCTAAGACGATGTCACCGCGTTGCAGCACGTCTCGTGCGTACGACGCTCCATCAACCTGCACAAATCAAAAATGTGCGAAAAACAAGTCCGATCATGAAAAGCCCTTCTGCGATCTGATTCAGATTTTCCCTATCGCCTTACGTAAGAGCCCGAGTCCATCATACCCGCAGCTTCATCATCAGACGTAATGGACTCTGAAAGTGTTCAAGCTCATGCACGCAGACCAGCTTGTATGCTTGTTTGCATGTGTGCGTACAATATACACTCTATTCACATATCCTGCCATCGCGAATGCTAGGCGGTTTATGGGTGCACCAGTGTCAAGTGCGATCATGAGAATCAACGCAACTTTGGTTGAAAATGCAACATCATCTGTGGCGAATGAGTCGTTGAATGGGTTCAAACAAACCTTTTTGACAAGCACTCCCTGTTGTTTTGACTTCAAGCTAAGGGCGCTTCTCATGAACCGATTTTCCAGTTTCTGCCAAGTAAATCCGCAATCCCCGAAACCCGTGTATTTCTTGTGGCGCTGAAAGTCTTCCAGAAAGTGCACCACCACCTGCCCACGCACAAGATAGCAACCCCAAATTCAGATAAGCCAAATGCATGATCGAAAACAGCAGTAGGCAGCTTATAGGCATGTAGCCCTCCAGCAACAGCTCAGCTGCTGCTGCTGCAGTTTCTCCTGGAGTGCCCTTCGGCAGGCATTGCTCCCAACAGGTACTTCTCCGATTTTTTAATATTGCATGGCTTTCTTTGTGCTGTTTTACCTCTGAAGGAATGATGTAACCTATGTTCTCAGTGTCTCCATCTTTGAGACTCTGGAAAGCAATGCCGACGCATTGTTTTTCCTTGTTCAGAGCTGGGCCGCCGCTATTTCCCGGGTTGATTGCCGCGTCAATTTGTATGGCCAAAAGCCAGCAGGAGCCCATGGAATACTGTTGCAAGTCTGTGCGCGAGACAACGCCCTGAAAATAGAAGAATAGCCATACGCACTGGGAGAGCCGGCTGTGTACGAGCGAGGGATAGCCAGCTCGCCTTTTTTTCTTATCTTCTTTTCGATTTATCAAAATGTTAAAACCTACTGCCCATCAACGCTTTATTAGCCCAACGTAGACTTGCCTGCGTGACTGAAGAATTGTCTCCACCTAAAGGATAACCAGCTACCGTGACGGGGTCTTCAAGGGAGGGAGAGGGGCCCCACTCCAGTGGGGGCCCTATGCCTGTAGATCCGCAGAACAAATGAATAAACGGTGATTACCTTAGAGCTTAGATCCGTGAGAGACAAAAAGATCAACACGGCCATGAAATGAGTTTTAACGCAAAGTTTTTGGTCGCAACTTCTACTACGTGAAGCCACAGCATGCGAGCTGTGAAATCTTTCACCCCAAAAAACCCTAAATACAAGCACTGTTTAATTCAAAAAGGCTCCCGTGGTGTCTTCACGCGCTCTACACTAGCATAAGCCATGCAATTGTTAAGTACTGCTCTATTCAGTCACATCTCAACCAAGCTGAGGTGTTGTTAGTTTGCTGCGACGGCAGAGAAGCTTCCTCTAAAGGGCAGTAGAAAATTCAGCCAAGGTATATTTAGGCAGTAACTATGGCCTTTGTCACGAGAACGCTTGCAGCAAAAAATAAATTGTTGATCGTTTTCAAAAAGGATCATTCAAAACCACAAGAGCCATACCATCCCAGAAGTCCGGGTCGTCCACTTGCAGCATCGCGAGGTCGCAGTCCAAGCCAATGCAAATGACCCTGGCCTCGTGCTTTTGGTGGTCACCGCGTCTTCTCACCTGTCACAAGAACATATGCTCATGGCTAGTCAGCTAGCTAGCTAGCCAGCTAGCCAAAAACGGGGAAGGGCAGCACGCGAAATCGCCGCCGCCACGCTAAACAGATGGACACAGAGCTCTATTGCCCAAGAAAATTTGGAGGACTCGCGCCAAAATTTGCACCACAGGAAAGAGCGGCATTTAATTTATTTACTTCCACCACAGTGAGATGCGCATATATCACACAGCACCACATTTTGTTGCACCCATGAAGAAAACTGTAACATATATTTCCACATGGTTGCAGCAAAAAAGAGTATTGCTGTTCCGTGACAAGAATCCCTCATGTGCCTCGACCTAGGGAAAAGAGCAAGGATCACAAACTGCACGAGTTCGGCGAGCAAAATGGGATACACATCAAACATATTTGTTTAGGAGTAAAAAATAAGTAGCAAGGAAACAGAACTGTCACCTGAACCACAGCAGCATTGTCCACTGAGTGAGCGTTTGTGAGTATGCAGTGAGAGCCCCCCGCGTCCACAGTAACGAATCCAGTGCTTGTTGAACTTGTTTGTCGGCGAGTTGTCCATGGCTGGCTGTAGTTGGGCTCACAGTGGGTGCAGAACACCTTCGCGAAACGAAAAGGGAAAAAGTCAAAGAGGAAAAAATAACATCAAAAACGGAAAAATAACATTCAGAATTGGTTTCAAATCTCCATGAAGGCAAAGTTCAGCAATAGGTCAGCGGCGTGGGAGGTAAGAACACGAAAAACGAAAACACAGCACGAAATACCCACATAAAATACAAAGTAGCAGCGGCAAAGTCTCCAAAAGGTGCACTCAAATCTCATAATTGAACGCATAGTTGAATGAAGAACATGCAAATGGATTGTTGCAGAGGCTGTTGCATGCACCAGAGCCAAGGGTGTGGGTGGTTCGTTCCTACCTTGACTACGGACTTGGGTATTTCCGACCTAATAATTGCTTCTTTAGTTTCCGCATCTGACTCCCTGTGCACAGGAAGATAAGCCGAACGGCTAGGGTGGTGCGCGTGGCCGTTGCAGGGGGCCTCTGGCGCGTGGGGAACTGCACTGGTGCCCACGGAGGGGCTCTTGCCGCCAGCCGCAGGCCTCCTGCCTCTCTTGGCCGCGGCCTCCGCTACCACTGAGGCTGCCTCTGCAGCCACGGCTCCATCTGTGGACTTCCGCTTCGACAGGCGAGTTTCTGCGAAACCCACAGAGGCGATCCCACGCACAACACTCCCGCAGCAGCAGCCACACACAACACTCGGGACTCTACAAGAACTGCAGCACAGCTGCTACGCACTGACACGCGAGAGCGGACCTCTCAGCGGCGGGGCGGCCTCGCCACCCTCGGCACTGCCTGAGTTCGGCATTTTTGAGGAAACGCAGGAGAAGCTGCACAAACTGCCGCACTGCCAGCAGAAACGGAACCTTCCAAAAAGTCTAAATGAGTTGCTCCGAAAACAGCAGAAAACCCGCGGAGCGACGGAACGGAAAAGGCGGAGAGGAAGGCGTAGGAACCACGAACGCGTGCTGGAGAGCTGAAGATGAAAATGCAAGATCCAAGCCGCCTTCGTGAGACTTGAAAGGCCCCTTGCATGTGCCTATGCATGCACCTATGCATGAAATAATGCAAGTGAGCTACGGCAGTCGACTCAATGAGACTAAACTGAACGGAAGTGTGGAAAATGCAAACCGACAGGCACCGAATAGACGAATGGCCTGCTCCGTGAGGCCTGTCTTGGTCCAGCTCGCTAGCGCCAGGGGAAAGGAGAAGAAATGAGGCTTAAAGTGGATAATAACAGTACGAGCAATAGAGCAAGGGTGACAAAACATGGAAGGATCGCCTCTTGACTCAATGTGATGAGAAGCGTCGCGCTGCTGGTCTGCACCTGCTGGGGCTCGTTGAAATTTAGTATCGGTAAACGGCAAAATGTGCCCAAAAATGACCTCAATTAAATGAAACGAATTTTACAAAGATGTACACCTAGCCGCAGACAGAATCCTTCTATGCGGAATGGCTTCATGGAAGCCCCGCAGCGCATGCAGCTGGCGCTGCAGCCGAAGTCTCCAGAATTTTTAGAAGAGTAGCGCGCTTTACCCCATTCCTGAACTGCTTTTAACCTTATTCACAACACTAAGATGCCAATTCTCTAAAGTTCCCCAGAGAATAGGGTCTTATCGGCCACTTTGTCAGCCACTAGGGCACGAATTGCATGAAATCCAGTACCTAATAAGTATTGCTGCTTGCACTCGAAGTGAGCAACAGGGAATTGCTGCTGTGGGCCCCGGTGAGCTGCCGCGGGTGCCCGTGAAATGCAGAAGGATTTCGCTGGAACGACAAGAAGGCAGATTCCCCCACAAGGACTCCCGTGTAGAGCATGTAAAGGTAGAGCATTTCAACTCAAGTGGCTGTAGATCACTGAAGTGGACAGTCACACCAAGAATAGGACGCCAATCTTCCGTAATTGACACGCGAAAGAATGCAATTTAGTATGAGAGAAGGCAACACTAATTGGCATTTTCAGAGCAATTAAGGCATACAGCAACAAGTGACAGCAAATGGAGTTCTTGTAGAGGGATGAGCTTCATAGTAAACCTCTTCGTTAAAGCCTCAGCCTAAGTTTAAGCCTGAGCGTACAACTTCAGCTAATTCTCGGGGGCCCCACGGCCCCCCGGGCTTGATGGCTATTCAGGATGGCTGGCTACGCTAGGCTATATTGGGCCGCAATGAAATGCCGCAGAAAAGGCAACATAGAAACAGCAGACCGGCAGCTCAAGCCTCCCTGCGCTCTGCTTTTAAGTGCAGCAACGCGGCCTTTGAGGCTGCCAAACAAAGGCGAGACTTCGAAAAAACTTTCTCCCAACTACAACAAAATTAATCTTGCATTTCGCCTGAGGCGGCCTCTTCTGTGCTACTAACGAAGACAAGCATTTAGGATAAGAAAGTGGCTCATGTGCGTGGAGCTGCGCATGCTTTTTTGCACAAGTGCCCATTCGGAACAACCAAAACTTGTGAAATAAAAGGAGTTGAATAAAACGGGCTAAGACCAGCCCCTGAGAACTGCCCCACACGAGCCAGCCAGTTGGCTGTTTATTTTCTGTACTAGCTGTGACAACTCGGAGTGGGGACCAAGGCAAATGGGCTTCAAAGAAAGCCTCCATGAGAGCTGCAAATGAAACTTCAATGGCTCTAAATAGTTTTTTGAAATAAAGAGGCTTTATTAGCTGAAATGAAGAGGCTTTATTAGCTCTTTGGTTTCGGGGGGCCAGGCGGCAACTTCGGAGGACCCCCTGGAAGCTTTCCCTGTGGGCAGCAGCAGCAGAAGCACAAGCAACACAGACAAAATCTGTAGCAGCAGCAGCAGCAGCAGCAGCAGCAGCAGCAGGAGGTGCGCATGCAAAGCTGCACTACTGCTTTTGAAGAGCTGGCCGGCCACAAGTTGTAGGCGCGTAAAACAAACAAGTGGCAGGAAAATAGTTAAAACTAAATGGAGCAGGAGAAGCCGCAGCAGCACTGCAGCGGCAGAATGGCCGGTGACGCTGCAGCAGCAAAAGCTGCTGCAGTCTCGCCGGCCATTCTGCTGCTATAACTTACCCCTGGAGCTGGGGGTTTCTTGGGGGGCCCCGAGGGGGGTGGCGCTGGCGGTCCTTTCCCTGTAGCTGCTTTGGCGGCCTTTTCTTCTGGGGGGCTGGGAGTTTCATCGGCTGCGTCCTTTGCTGCATCTGCTGCAGCCTTTGCTGCATCTGCTGCAGCCTTTGGTGGGGCCTTCGGGAGGCCCCCTTTTGGGGGCAAGGGCCCCTTCCCCGGGGGAGGGGAGGCCTCCGGGGGCCCCTTGCCAGCGGGGGCAGGAGGGAGTTTTGCTGCAGCAGGAGGGGCAGCTGGCTTCCCCGGGGGAAGAGCTCCTTTTTCTTTCGGGGGGGCCACTGGTGCCTTTTCTTGCGGCGTGGGGGGCCCCTCAGGCCCTTTAGAAGCTGCGGGGGCTGTCGAGGCTTTAGGGGGGGGCCCAGGGGGCCCTTTCGGCTTGCCTGGTGGGGGTCCTGCTTTATCACTGGGAGGCCCTGGGGACTTGCTCGCAGGTGGAGGAGGCCCTCCGGCACCTTTAGGTGGCCCTGGGGGCCCCCCTGGTGGCCCCCCTGGTGGCCCCTTTGGAGGTCCCCCTGGCGGCCCCCCTGGGGGCCCCCCTGGTGGCCCCTTTGGAGGTCCCCCTGGAGGCCCCCCTGGGGGCCCCCCTGGTGGCCCTTTAGGAGGCCCTCCTGGGGGCCCCCCTGGGGAACCCCCTGGTGGCCCCTTAGGAGGCCCTCCTGGGGGCCCCCCTGGGGAACCCCCTGGTGGCCCCTTAGGAGGCCCTCCTGGGGGCCCCCCTGGGGGGCCTCCTGGCGGCCCCTTAGGAGGCCCTCCTGGGGGCCCCCCTGGGGGGCCCCCTGGCGGCCCCTTAGGAGGCCCTCCTGGGGGCCCCCCTGGGGGCCCCTTTGGGGGGCCCCCTGGGGGGGCCCCAGGGGCCTTATCTTTGGCGCCAGGCGGCGCTGGCGGTGCCCCTGCCTTTTCCGTCTGAGACTTCGCAGGGGGAGGACTTGGAGTCTTTTGGGGGCCCCCTCCGGGGGGGGTGGGGGCGCCTGGGAGAGAGGCCTTTGAAAGAGCTGAAGATTGCACATGAATTGCCACACAAGCTGCCTTGTTTGCCACTCACTAGTGCAGCAGCAGCAGCCTCTCTGCTGCAGCGACAGAGAAGACAAGCAGCAGAAAAAAAGGAGCTAAATTGAGCTGAATTCATCAAACAAAAGAAAAAGTCTAGCCTTACGTGGGCCCTTTGACTTCAGATCCCCCGTGTCTTTCCCCGGAGGCCCCGGAGGCTTTTTAGCTGCTTCGCTGTCTTCGCTGCTCTTTGCTGCAGGAGAGGACTCCGTTCCTTTTGAGAGAGGGGGGCCCTTCTTCGCTCCGGGGGGCCCCGAGGGGGGCCCCCCTGGGGGCCCCGACGGGGGCCCTGCAGGAGGTCCCGAGGGGGGACCCCCTGGAGGCTTCGATGGGGTTCCCGCTGGGGGCTTTGATGGGGGCCCCGTAGGGGCGCCCGAGGGGGGCTTCGACGGGGGCCCCGCGGGGGCCCCCGTGGGGGGCCCCGTGGGGGGCTTCGAGGGGGGCTTTGACGGGGGCCCCGACGAGGGTTTCGGGGGGCCTGCGGAGGCGGGCGGGGCAGGGGCCCCCGAGGGGGGCCCCGTTGGAGCCTTTGCTGGAGGCTTCGATGGGGGGCCCCCCGGTGGGGGCCCCCCTTCTCCTTCAGCTTTGCCGGCAGGCGCGCCAGGAGACTTACCCGGAGGAGCAGAAAGAGATTTAGAAGTAACTGCAGGAACAGTCCGGGTTGCTGCAGGCAGCCCCGCAGGTTTGCCCGCTGGGGGGGCCCCCGGTTTGGCTCCCGGTGGGGCTGGGGGCCCCCCTTTCGCAGCCGAGGGGGGCCCCTCGCCTTTGGCCGCTGGAGGCCCCGGTGGTCCATCTCCCTTAGCACCCGGAGGACCAGGAGGTCCACTGGTCTTTCCGCCAACGGGGGTGGTCTTGGCCCCTGGGGCCGTGAGGCTTTTGGGGGCTGGTGGGCCATCGGTTTTAGATGTTGGGGGCCCCTCCACCTTGGCTCCGGGGGCCTCCTTCCCCTTAGCTGCTGCTGGGGGCAAGCCCCCTTTGCCTGCTGGGGGCCCCTCAGCCTTTGAAGCTGAAGGTTCTTTCCCCTTTGCTGCCAGGGGCCCCTCGCCTTTGGCGCTGGGGGCCCCCTTGGTCTGGGCCGTGGGGGGCCCCTCGGCTTTGGGCGGCGAGGGGCCCCCCGTCTTGGCTGGAAGGGTACTGGCCGGCTTGGCTCCCGGCGGCGCAGCAGCAGCTGCATCCTTTTTTGCTGCTGGAGAGGGGACCGTTTTGACTCCTGGGGGCCCCCCAGGGCCTTTCGCTGCATCCCCTGGGGGCCCCCCTTTGGCCCCCAGGGGGCCCTTGCCGGCGGCTCCCGGGGGCCCCGATTTGGCGGCCTCGGGGCCTTTTGCTGCAGCCTTGGCTGCTGCTGGTGCTGCTGCTGCTGCTGCAGAGTCCTGCTCGGGGGGCCTCTTTATGGGTACAGTGCCGAACTTGGGCTTAAAAGGCTCAGAAGGGGGGGGGGCACTGTTGGGGCTGGGGGGCTTCGAGGCCTTCAAAGTACCCTCTTTGGGGAATCCCGGGGGCCCCCCGGCCTTCTCCCCGGGGCCCTGCTTGGGGGCCCCCGCCACAGGAAGGCTGGAGAAGGGTTTTCTGCTTTCGGGCTCTGCTGTCAAGTCTGCTGCAGAAAGTGCTGAGCTCTGGGCGCTCAAGGGGCCCCTCCGCTCCCCGTCCTTTTCTCTTTGCATGTATGCTTCTCGCGCGGCCACTGCAGCGCAGCAGCAGCAGCAGCAGCAGCAGCAGCAGCAGCTCAGCCCCGGCCAGAGAATGCGCCCAGAATTGCCCCAAAAGCCACTGACACACGGCAGCCTTCTTTGCCCCAGTGAGCACCACCAACAGCAAACTTGACTACAGGCAACTGCAGCGACTGACGCTAGGCCTGCAGCAGCATCAACAGCAGCAGCAGCAGCAGGAACAGCAGCAACAGCAACAGCAGCAGCAACAACAACAGAAACACCAGCAACAGCAGCAGCAACAGCAGCAACAGCAGCAACAGCAGCAGCAGCAGCAGCAGCTGCAGCAGCAGCTGCAGCAGCAGCAAAAGCTGCGCACCTTCCTGTTCAATGTCCGCGCGGAGTCGGGTTTCCAAAGTGTACTGGGTTGCCTCTGAAATGGAGGGCCGCACAATGCTGGGGTCTTGTGCTTCAATGGCTCGCAGCTTTATTGCGGGGGGAGTCGCTTGCCACCGGTCGGAGGCTGCATGCAGCGGCAAACTTGCTAGGGTTTAGGGTTTAGGGTTTAGGGTTTAGGGTTTAGGGTTTGGGGTTTAGGGTTTGGGCTGTGGCAAAGAGCAGCGGCTGGCGCAAGGCGGAGAAGCTGCTGCGGTTGCGCAACGCAGCCGCAGCAGCAGCAGCAGCTGCAGCAGCAGCAGCAGCAGCAGAGCTCACCCCCCAGAAGCAGCCACTCTCTGTTGTAAGTGGCTGCTGCCATCCACTTCAAGTCCCGGGGACTTCTTTTCCACACAAATCTGTTCAGCAGCCAAGACCTGTCGTTGGTGGCCACGGCCAGCCAGCGGAGGTCAAGGGGGCAAAACTCCCACCTGCGCGCAGCAGCAGCAGAGTCTTGGGGCTGCATGCATGCTGCTGCTGCTGCTGCTGCAGCACGAAGCAGCCCCTGCGGCCCCACAGCCAAAACGCAGCAGCAAACAAACGCAACAAACTCCCGCTGCATGCACCAGCGGGTACCTGTCGCTCATCTGCAGCCACGCGTCGTCCTTTGTCGCCGCCGCCAGCCACCGCAGGTCCAGGCTGGCTGAGCAGCAGCAGCAGCAGCAGCAGCAGCAGCAGCAAAGGCACTCAGCAGCAGCGACAGCGTGCAGCCGGGGCCAACACGCGATCAACAACAGCTACGCTCAACAGCTGCAGCAACAGCGGCAGCAACACCGGCAGCAGCAGTAGCAGCAGCAACAGCTGCTGCAATAGCTGCTGCAACCGCTGCAGCCACAGCTGCAGCAACAACGGCAGGGACAGCTGCTGCAGCAACAGCCGCAGCAAAGTCTGCAGCGGCAGCTGCTCGAATGGCTGCAGCAACAGCTGCAGCAACAGCTGCAGCAACAGCTGCAGCAACAGCTGCAGCAACAGCTGCAGAAACAGCTGCAGAAAAAGCTGCAGCAACAGCGGCAGCAACAGCGGCCTCAACAGCGGCGACGACAGCTGCTGCAGCAGCTGCTGCAGCAGCTGCAGCAGCAGCAGCTGCTGAGCCCTGCTCGCCTCTCCCAGTGCCGTGGGGCCAAACGCACCTCCCTCTGAGCCAATCTCAGAAGTCTGCGGCTTTTTCTGAAGACAAGAAGCAGCAAAAGCTTTAAAAGCTGCTTCGATTGGCAGCAGCAAAGAGTTCAATAAAACTAATTTGGCTCGCTGCTGCCACTGCCTAGGTGGCTACTTATCTTTGTCTTCCCACTATTATTTATTTGTTTATATTTTGTTTGGCTGTGAGCAGCAAGCTGCTGCTGCCAACTAGTCCTGTGCTCGCTGCGCCAACCGACCGCCAGCTAGCTGCTAGCTAGCTGTTAGCTAGCTGTTAGCTAGCTGCTAGTTAGCCGCTAGCTAGCTGTTAGCTAGCGGTTACATAGCTGCTAGCTAGCTGTTAGCTAGCTGTTAGCTAGCTGTTAGCTGGTTGCTAGCTAGCTGCTAGCTAGCTGCCAGTTAGCTGGTAGGTAGCTGCCAGCTAGCTGTTAGCTAGCTGCCAGCTAACTGCTAGCTAGCTGCCAACTAGCTGCTAGCTAGCTGCTAGCTAGCTGCTAGCCAGCTCTGGGCAGCAGCAGCAGCGCAGAAGAAAAGTGCTGCGAAATATGCCAAAGACAGAAAACTCACCGCGCCCGTTGCAGCGGCTAAGCCGCAGTCCCCAGCTTTGCGTTTTAGCTGCTCCGTGGCTGCGTAGAGCCGCCGGTCGTGCTGCAGCAAAAACCCAGCAGCAGCAGCAGCAGCAGCAGCAGCAGCAGCACAGACACAAGGTGACCTCCTAACGTCTGGTAAATCTCACAAATAACATTAATGGGGCAGCGCTGTGAACAAAGCCAGCCCCATCGCCAGCGCAAATAACTGTAAGCTGCAACGTGACTCCTGTTCTGCACTGTGCATGCATGCATGCATGCATGCATGCATGCATGCATGCATGCACGCATGCATGCATGCACCGTCCAATATATGCATGCATGCATGCATGCATGCATGCGTGCATGCATGCATTCTGCATGCATGCGGGGCTGACCACTGGGCAGGCTGCGACCATGGCGAGGATTTCGGGGACGCGGGAGATGATGGGCTCTGCTGCGCTGCTGCCCAAAAGCCCCAAAATGTTGGCCACGAGGGTCACCAGTTCTTTTGCGTCGGAGGCGGTGGGCGAGTAGAGGCCCGCGCAGCGCGTAGCGTACGCCTGCAGCAGCAGCAGCAGCAGCAGCAGCAGCAGCAGCAGATGCGCAGGTGGGCTGCAGCGAGCGGCAGAGAGAGCAGGCAGCTGGGATCCAGGAGAAGCAACTGCTTCTCCCTTGCTGCTGGGGGCCCCCAAGGGGCCCCGCGGGGATCGCAGCTGCTGCTGCAGCGCAGCAGCTCGTCTGCTGCGCAGCAGACTAAAGGTGCAGCAAGCTGCTGCGGACTGGCGGCCCGGGGCCCCACAGCCTGCTGCTGCAGCAACGCAGCTGCTTACCCGCAAGTTCCGCAGCTGCACTTCAGCTGCATAGTTCTTCTGGAAAAGAGCTTCCAGGCTGGCTCCAATGCTGCAGCAAAAGCAGCAGCAGCAAAATGCCTCAGACTCTTCTTGAGACAGTCACAGCAGCACAGCAGCAGCCCAAGGGGCCTACAGGCAGCAAACAGTTGCCGCAGCAGCCTTCTGCTCGCAGCCCTGCTGCTTGCAACAACCCTGCGCAGCGGCTACAGCTGCTGCGCTGCTGCAGCAGCAGCGCTGCTGCAGCAGCGGGTGCAGGCCTGCTGCAGCAGCTGCAGCTGCTGCGGCCGCAGCAGCAGCAGCAGCAGCAGCAGCAGCACAGCTGCTGCTGCAGCTGCTGCGGCGGCGGCCCCCGCTGGAGAAGCCAGTGTTGGGAATTGGGACTCACGTCTTGTTTTCATATTCAAGTCTGTTTCTTTCTGCGTTGACTGTCTTGTAAAGATATTCCCAGTCTTGGACCTCGCCCTGCACAGGCAAAGAAAGCAGCACACAAGCTGCAGCACGGGCTGCGCCTAACAGCAGCAGCAGCAGCAGCACAAGCAGCAGCATCAGCAGCAGCAGCGGCAGCAGCAGCAGCAGCAGCGGCAGCAGCAGCAGCGGCGGCAGCAGCAGCAGCAGCAGCAGCAGCAGCTCACTGAAGATGGGTTATGGGCCTGAGGCCGAGAGCGGCTGTTGTACCCAACATAGCCGCGCAGGGGCGGAAGCGCGGCGCTGCAGGCAGCCACAGAGAAGAGGCGCAGCAGCAGCAATAAAGGGTGTGGCCCGCAGCAGCGGCGCAGCAGCAGCAGCAGCGGCGCAGCAGCAGCAGCAGCGGCTGCAGCAGCAGCGGCTGCTGCAGCAGCAGCGGCTGCTGCGTGCAGCCAAAAGCAGCAGGCCAGGGGCCGCGCACTTGGGGGCCTCTTCAGCAGCTTTGGCCGCGCGAGCCCTCCTGTAGAAGGCGCTGCAGAGCGCGTCGTCTTGCCTCGCCCGCTGCACACAGCAGCCCGCATGCATGCAGCGAGCCTGTGGGGCCCGGGGGCTGCAGCTGCGTGACCAGTGGTCACGAGTGGTCACGAGCGGTGACCAGTGGTCACCGGGGTGACCAGTGGTCAGCGGTGGTCTGGCGGCGGCTGTCGAGCCCGCGGGACAGCCAGGGGCTCACCATTTCGCCGCATTCGCCGCACAAGACCCCACGCCACTCCCGGAGGCTCCTAAGGGATTACTTTGAAGTAAAAAAGATAACAACTTCTGTTTGGAAAAGATCAGGGAAGGCGCCGCGCAGCTGCAGCTCGCGGCGGCCCCGGCGGCGCCGAGGCGGATCACGCGTGGACGGGGAGAAAGGGAGGCCACGAGAAAGGAATTTTGGGAAATAAAAGGATAAAATATGGAAAATTAAGACTTTCTTTCAGATTTTTGCGGGAAAATACCCAGTCGAACGGCGGCCGGGGGCCCGAGGCCCTGGCCTGGGCAGCTCGACTTGTGCAGGATCGCCAGGCCGACGGACTGCGGCTGGCTAGGGGCAGTGGGGGGCTAATTTAGTTCTTTTTCCGCTAGAAAACTGCTTGCAAACATTTAAAAGTCTTTTAATTGCCAATTAGCTTCTTTAACGCGCTCTCCGGGGCCGAGACTGCTGCCTGCCAGCCCTGCAGCCACCCGCGCGCGGCGCTGCGCCGAGTGTACGTACACCTCAAGTGCCAGCAGCAAACTAGCGCCACTCTTAACAAATACTCTTAGAAACTAGCAGCAGCTTTGCCTTTAAAGGCCGCTAGCGCGTGGCTGCTGCTGCTGCGGCCTTCTAGCAGCGCGCCGGAGAAGCAAACAGCAGCAAAAAGCGACCAGTGGACCACTCCCTCTGCTTGACTAGTTTGCTGCTGCAGCATCAGCTAAAAGCCCTGCCGCTGCTGCCTCGCTGCGCCGCAGCGAGGCCCCCCGCGCCCCCAGCCTTGCAGCAGCAGCAGCAGCAGCTGCTGCTGCTGCTGCTGCCGCTAGTGCTCGCTGTGCAGCCAAAATTAGTTCTCTGTGGGGTTTAAAATCTATTGCGGGGGCCCCCAGGGCCCGGGCCCCACAGCGCCGCAGTCAGTCTGGCGTGGCCTCGTAAATGGGGGGAGGGGAGGCATCGTAAATGGGTATTTTTTTTTCTTTTAGACCTCGCTTGCTGTGTTTGCGGGCACCAGGGGGGCCCCCGGGGGCCCCCGGGGGCCCCGGGGGGCCCCCCTGCTGCTGCTGCTGCTGCTGCTGCGCAGCCAGTTGCTGCTGCATCACCAGCCGCGCGAGCTCGCTCGCCTGCGGCGCCACGTCCTGCAGCTTCCGCAGGTGGGCCTGATAGGCTGCATTACTTGCTGCTCCCAAAGCTGCTTCTGCACTAGCTTTATCACTAATGTGTTTTGCTGCTGCTGCTATGTAAGCTTCCCTAGCAGCAGCAGCAGCAGCAGCAGCAGCAAGCGCGGGGCTGCCCTGCTGCGGCGGCGCCCCGCCGGCGCCCCTCCCCCGCGCTGCTGCTGCCGCTGCTGCTGCTGGGGAGGCGGCGCCCGGCTGCTGCTGCAGCAGCTGCTGCTGCTGCTGCTGCTGCTGCTGCACCAGCAAAGTGCTGCCTGGGGTATACATAAACCCCACACCTTGGCTTCTCAAAACCCTCAAGTCCCTGGGATCGGGAGGCGGCGGTGGGGAGTCCCCGCTGCTTCTGCTGGCAGCACAGTCCGCTGGGTCTCGCTGGGGGCCCCCCTCCTGCTGCAGCGGGGGGCCCCACCTGCCTCCCGCTGCAGCAGCAGCAGCAGCAGAAAGCCCTGCTGCTGCCAGCGGCTGCTTCGGAGCAAACGTCTCGTAAGACGCCACCGTCTCTCGCGAGCTCTGCCGCTCCTGCACCAGGCGGTAGCACTCCGCCGCGCTGTACGGCTGCTGCTGCTGCTGCTGCTGCTGCTGCTGCTGCTGCTGCTGCTGCTGCTGCTGCTGGGCGAAGTGCGAGGAAGGCGGCAGCGAGCTGCACAAGTAGGGGCCCCCCGAGGGCCCCGGACTTATGCTGCGGGGCCCCGAAAGGGCCCCACAAGTGAGGGCTAGCCAGGCCCTTGCGGGGTCAAAGAAAGAATAGCCCTCCATGTATTCTACTTGGGGGGCCCCTTGGGGGGCCCCTGCGGGGGCCCCCGAGGGGGGCCCCCAGGGGGCCCCCTCGCCTGGCCTGATGGTGCAGCAGGCTGCGCTCAGTCGCTCCGTCGCCGTCAGCGCTGCAGCAAAGGCCTGCTGCGCCCGCCCCTCCCTGCTGCTGCTGCTGCTGCTGCTGCTGCTGCTGCCAGCAGCAGCAGGAGACGCAGGCGGCGGAAAGGCAGCAGGCCACCCCACAGAATAGAAAGCGTCTTCAAAGGAGGCGTTCCCGCCCGTGTGCACTGTCAGCTCCGGCATTTGGTCCAGCGCAAACAGACGGCTGCAGCAGCAGCAGCAGCAGCAGCAGCAGCAGCAGCAGCAGCAGCGCAGCAGCAGCAGGTAACAGCCAAGAACCACAAGCCGCAAGCTGCATGCAGCCTTCCCCCACAAACTGGAACATAAAAATGGGGTGCTGGAACTATGAACTAAAGGGAAAGGGACAGAGCTCCCCGCTGCTGCTGCTACTGCTGGCACCACCTCTGCTGCTGCTGCTGCTGCTGCTGCTGCTGCTGCTGCTGCGCTCACTTCCACTTGAGGTCCCGCATGCGATTCCTGACTCTGTCGATGAGGGCCTGGTAAGAAACGCGGCGGCCCCTCGAGGCATTTGCGGGGCCGAAGAGCTCAAGGAGGACAGACACGAGGCACCAGGTGAACACCCCTAGCAGCAGCAGCAGCAGCAGCAGCAGCAGCAGCAGCAGCAGCATGAGTAGCAGCAGCAGCAAACCCAGCGCCAATTTGTGGACTCAACTAATAGTAAAAGCACCACCAGCTGCGGACTGCTACTCCCAGTCAGCTGCAAAGCATCGAGACTCGCCCAACAGCTAGCTAGCTAGCTAGCTGGCTAGCTGCGCAGCCGTGTAGCTAGCTATCTAGCTAGCTGGCTAGCTGGCTAGCTGGCTAGTTGAACAGTCGCGTAGCTAGCAAGCTAGATGGCTAGCTAGATGGTTAGCTATCTAGCTGGTCGGGAGCGTAGCTAGCCTGCCAACTAGCTAGGTAGCTAACTAACTCTCCAGCTCGCCAGCCGGCCAGCTAGCTAGCTAGCTAGCTCGCCAGCCAGCTAACTAACTAAGTAGCTAGCGAACTAGCAGCCAGCTAGCCAGCCAGCCGGCCAGCTAGCTCGCCAGGCAGCACCCAGCCAGCCAGCTAGCTAGCTAGCTGGCTAGCTAGCTAGCTAGCTGGCTGGCTAGCTAGCTAGCTAGGTGGCTAGCTAGCTAGCCAGCTTGCGCACCGTGGACCACTGGCTTTCCGCCCTCGGAGGCCGTGATGGAGGGCGCGAAGAGGGGAGGCCCTTCTCGAGAAAGTCGAACTGGAAGTTCGAGAGAAGGAAGTGCTGCTTCGACGGCCACTTGGCTCCACGCTGTACGTACACCCCAGCGCCCAGCTGTGCGTACACCTCAGCGCCCAGCTGTACGTACACCCCAATGCCTGCACCCCGCTGTACGTACACCCCGCCTCAGCTGCAGCGACCCCCGCCGACTCCGCGCTCCCACCGCACAAGCAGCAGCAGCAGCAGCAGCAGCAGCAGCAGCAGCGGCGGCGGGGGGAGCCCGACCGCAGCAGCGACAGGTGAAAGGAACAAGCAGCAGCAGCAGCGTGACGGGAGGCAGGGCAGCAGCAGCAGCAGAACGGGAAGACAAATGGCAGCAGCAACAAGGCGGGAAGCCAATCACCAGCAGCAACAAAGCGAGGAGCCAAACAGCAGCAACAGCAGCAGCGGCAGAACAGGAAGCCACGCCGCAGCAGCAGCAGCAGCAGCAGCATCATCATCAGCATCATATTAGCATCATCATCATCAGCATCATCATCATCATCATCATCATCATCATCATCAGCAGCAGCAGCAGCAGCAGCAGCAGCAGCAGCAGCAACAGCAGCAGCAGCGGCAGCAGCAGCAGCAGCAGCAGCAGCAGCGCACGTGCTGCTGCCAAGAGGTAGGCCTTGCTGTTGCCAGTGAGCGGCCTGGAGGCGCAAAGGACAGGACACCTGACGGCGTTGGCCGAGGAGATCTCCACGCAGGGCAGGTACAACCGCGGCCGCACGCGCTGCGCCTGCATGTCTGCAGCAGCAGCAGCAGCAGCAGCAGCAGCAGCAGCAGCAGCAGTGGCAGTAGCAGCGTGTGGCAGCAGCGGCAGCAGCGTGCGGCAGCAGTGGAGAGAGAGGACACTGCAGCGCGACGGCTGCAGCGGCTACTTTGGGCAACGTCAACCAGAAAAGAGCAGCACTGAAAGGGCAGCAGCAGCAGCAGCAGCAGCAGCAGCAGAAGCAGCAGCAGCAGCAGCAGCAGCAGGAAGGCTCACTAGGGTCTAGCCACACATTCGAGTTGTAGCTCGCGCGCTGCATGCGGTTCGTTGGGTCCGTGAGGAGCGGCCACAGCCCCTTCTGCTTAACTCCTGCAGCAGCAGCAGCAGCAGCAGCAGCAGCAGCAGCAGCAGCGTTCTTCCTATTACCAGCAGCAGTATACATCTTCAAAACGAACAAATTGTATATAATATGCATGCAGTTGGGCCAGCAAAGCAGTTGCTCATGCCCCCCTTTAAAAAAGCCCGTCAACTGCGTGCATGCATGCGGAAGCAGCTAGAAAGCCCCACCTTTGATGAAGGTCCAGACGCTGCCGGTGCCCGCGGGGTCCAAAATTGTTTGGCAGCCACAAGTGTCCAAAATCATACAGACATGCACCTGCGGCGCCACGCTTAGCAGCATCTGCACACAGCAGCAGCAGCAGCAGCAGCAGCAGCAGCAGCAGCAGCAGCAGCGGCGGCGGCGGGGTGTGCATGGCAGCGGCAGCAGCTGCAGGGCAGGCGCGCAGGGGGCATCACGAACACCAACAGCAGCAGAACCGCAAGCAGCAGCAGCAGCAGCTGCTGCTGCAGCAGCAGAACCGGCAGCAGCAGCAGCAGCAGCAGCTCCGTTGAGGCTGCGCAGTGTGCAAAGGGAGCTTCTGTGGGGTGTACAGACACCCCACGGCCGCCCCGTGCATGCAGGGAATCTGCTTTTTGTTCCCAATTGAATAATACTTACATAATACATTAAATATATTTATTTAAATTCATTTAACATATTTTTGAACTTTAAATAAATTTAAAAAGATGCCTCAAGAAAAGGCATTTGCTGCTGCTGCTGCTGAGCAGCACACTGCAGCAGCTCTGCAGCACACAAACGGCTGCGGCGCTGCAGCGCGCGGCGCCTCTAAACCCTAAACCCTAAACCCTGAACCCTAAACCCTAAACCCTAAACCCTTTTGGGATGGGGACCAACCTCTTTGAGGTGAATTGTCAGCAGCAGATTTGCATCTTCTTCGCTGCCTAAAGAGTCAAAGTCCACCGGCAGCAAAGCCTCATCGTAGCCTGAGCAGCAACCCTAAACCCTAAACCCTAAACCCTAAACCCTAAATTTGAAGAAGCTAAACCCTAGACCCTAGGCCCTAGGTCTCAGACCCTAAACCCTAAACCCTAAACCCGTCCAGCAGGACTCCTACGGCCTATAGTTCCCTCTGTGAGAAACTTTGCCAGGGAAGCCTAGGGTTTAGGGTTTAGGGTTTAGGGTTTGGGCCCAAGGGTCTAGAACTTTTGCGGCTTAGTAATTAGGGTTTTGACGCAGAGAGTGACGCTTTGTGTGCTCGTCATTACGGCTAGTGCTGCTGCTGCTGCTCCTTCTGCTCGTGCTGCTGCTGCTGCTGCTTGTGCTGCTGCTGCTGCTTGTGCTGCTGCTGCTGCTGCTGCTGCTTCACCTTCTCCCTCGTAGGCTGAGAGGTTGTCGACTTGAGTGCTGTGGCCACTGAAGTAAAAGAAAAGCCTGGAAGCAGCAAGCAGCAGCAAACGCATGCAAGCAGCAGCAGCAGCAGCAGCAGCAGCAGCATGCAGCCCCAAACCCTCCCCGCTGCTCTGCCCTGCTGCTGCAGCGCAGCAGCTGCCGAGGCACCATCCACAAATATACCGAAATATGCACCAGCAGCAGCAGCAGAAGCAGCAGCAACGGCAGCAGCAGCAGCAGCAGCAACGGCAGCAGCAAGGAGGCAAGGAGGCACATGTTCAGGTGCAGTCCTAAGGAGGCAACTTTGAAGACTAGACTCATATAAACACAGCAACAACAGCAGCAGCAGCAGCTGCTGCTGCTGCTGCCGTTGCTGCTGCTGCTGCTGCTGTTGCTGTTGCTGTTGCTGCTGCTGCTGTTGCTGCTGCTGCTCTGCCCACCTGTCGCCGGGCATTGCGTCTCTGACGAGCCAGTTGAGAGCGCTGCAGCAAAAGCAGCAGGAAGCAGCAGCAGCAAATTCGGAGGATAAGCAGCAGCAAATTCAGCTAATAAGCAGCAGCAAATTAAGACACCAAATAAATGGATAAAAGCGCAAAGCAGCTAGGGAATGCAGCAGCTAAAGGCCACGCAGCAGCAGCACGGAGCCGCAGCAGCAGCAGCAAGAGCGAGTCCCAACAGCAGCAGCAGCAGCAGCAGCAAGAGCGCGTCCCAACAGCAGCAGCAGCATCAGCACGAGCGCGCAATCGCAAAAGCAGCAGCAGGAGCGAGTCTCAGCAGCAGCAGCAGCAGCAGCAGCAGGCGGAGCGAGCCCCAGCCGCAGCCGCAGCCGCAGCCGCAGCAGCATCAGCTGCTGCTGCTGCTGCTGCTGCAGCAGCAGCAGCAAAGAGAGGCGCACATAAGGATGTTTTGCTTCGTGGGCTGCGTGGGCAGCGAGGGGTTTGGCTGCAGCTGCTCGAGTTTGCTGACGTCGACTGTGGGGTGCAGCACGAGCCCCTTGGGGTGGGGCTTGGGCTTGCTGCTGCTGCTGCTGCTGCTGCTGCTGCTGCTGCTGCTGCTGGTGGGGCGCGGCAGGCGGCCGCTGCTGCTGTTGCTGCTGCCGCGGTAGGCCGAGTCCGGCAGCGCGTCGCTCAGCAGCAGCACATTGTCCGGACTCAGCTGCAGCAGCTGCACTAATGCATGCGCCAGCAAGTGGCAGTCATTTGCTGCTCCCCGCAGCGCGAAGTTGGGGCTTCGGGTGTACGTACACCCCACCACCACGGCCCGGCTCACGCCCCACACGCGGCCCCGCCGCCCCCCCCTGCTGCTGCTGCTGCTGCTGCTGCTGCTGCTGCTGCTGCTGCTGGGGCCCGCGGTGTCCGCCTGCGGCGCGCCCGCCGCGCCCGCGAACGCGCCCCGCTGCTGCTGCTGCTGCTGCTGCTGCTGCTGCTGCTGCGCTCTTGCTGCTGCGCAGGCGGCCGGCAGCGAGCTGCGCGCCCCCGCTGCAGACAGCGGGAAGTTCGCAGGCACTGTCGAGTAACTCAGCGGCGGCTTCACTTGCTGCTGCTGCTGCTGCTGCTGCTGCTGCTGCTGCTGCTGCTGGGTGTAGAAGTGCAGCAGGTCGTGCTGCGGCAGCGAGTACGACGCGCAAGTTTGGTGCAGCCGCTCAGGCCCCGCTGCTGCTGCTGCTGCTGCTGCACTTGCTGCTGCTGCTTGCTGCAGCGCGGAGGCCACAGAGGGCTCCGTCGACAGCAGCCGCTGCTCCCGCTGCAGGATCCGCTGCTCCTGCTGCTGCAGCGTCGCCAGCAGCTGCGCATGCGGATCGTCCTGCAGCAACGGCTGCTGCTGCTGCTGCTGCTGCTGCTGCTGCTGCTGCCCGTAGACGAGCTGCGATTTCACGGGGTAGGTCAGAAGCCACTCCTGCTGCTGCGCTGCTGGTACATCAGCCCCCTGCACTGCCCAGGCCGGCTGCTGCTGCTGCTGCTGCTGCAGCAACAGCTCTTGCTGCTGCAACTCCTGCTGCTGCAGCTGCAGCTGCTGCTGCAGCTGGAACTGCTGCTGCTCATCAGTGGTGGAGTAGCTGTGCGCAACGAGCGGAGGCGTGAATTGCTGCGTCCACGCCTGCTCCTTTGGCTGCTGCTGCTGCTGCTGCTGCTGCAGCTGTTGCTGCTGTTGCTGCTGCTGCTGCTGCCACGCAGCCTGCTGCTGCTGCTGCTGCAACTGGTGCTCTTCCTGTGTCACTGTTATTACGGGCGTTGGCAGCAGCTGCTGCTGTTGCTCTATTTGCTGCTGCATTGTGGCAGGGCTGGGCCCGAGTCCGCAGCAGTGTGCAGACGGCAGCAGCAGCAACAGCAGCAGCAGCCGAAAGCAGACAGCTCCTAAAGAGCAAGATGTATATTAGTGCAGGAGGGCAGAGCTGCTCCAATTCGCCGCAGTCGCTGTGCTGCTGCTGCTGCTGCTGCTGCTGCTGCTGCTGAGTCGGAGGCGGCCGACACGGAAGCGCTGCAGTCATGCGCTGCTGCTGCTGCAGCAGCGGCAGCAACTGGCTTCACGACTCTACAAATGAGTCTGCGGGTTTGCAAAAAGGAACAAAATTTCTAAAGGCTGGTCGCTGCTGCTGCAGGGGTCTGCTGCAGCAGCAGCAGCAGCAGCGGCAGCAGCAGCAGCAGCGGACCAGCGCCTGTACCCCAGTAGGAGCCGCTGCGTATCTGCTGCAGCAGCAGCTCGCAGCAGCTTCTTTTTGCAAGATATTTAGAGTTTAGAATTAAAAAACAAAAAGAAACTTGGTTTTAATATTCAAATTAATCAACAGAGAAGCCACCAGAAGGCACAGGCGCGGGGGCCCGCAGCAAATCCAGCCCCAGCCTTCTTGCTGCTGCTGCAGTTTGCTGCTGTCTGTCTGTTTTCAAGTTCTTATTCGGCCTTTGCTAGCAGCTACAGCTCCTGCTGCTGCTGCTGCTCTTACTTGCTGCCCCCACAGCAGCAGCAGCAGCTGCTGCTGCAGAAGGCTGCTGCTGCCCAGACAGCAGAGCTCAGCATTTGCTGCAGTGTACATACAGTGCAGCAAGCCAGTGCCAAGGCCAAAATGCTGGAAGAACAAGAGGCTTCTTATGTTGAGCTGCTGCTGCTGCTGCAGCAGCAGCAGCAGAACCCCAAAGTCCTGCTTCCGGTGCTGCAGCTCGTGCTGCAGTGCAGCGGGGACCCCGACTTCATCCGCTTCCTCATTAGTGGCCTTGCTTCCACCAAGGAGCACCAAAACAAGCAGCAGCAGCAGCAACAGCAGCAGCAGCAGCAGCAGCAGCAGCAGCAGCAGCAGCAGCAGCAGCAGCAGCAGCAGCAGCAGCGGCAAGCTGTTGTGCAGGGGCTGCGCCGCCTGCTGCGGCTCGTAGGCGGCAAAGACGGCAGCCTTTCTGCGCTGAGCACAGAAATCCTAATTAACTTAACAGCAAACGAAACCCTGGGTAAGCTAAACCCTAAACCCTAAACCCTAAACCCTAAACCCTAAACCCTAAACCCTAAACCCTAAACCCTGTGCTGGCTTCACCCGAGTCGCCGCTGCGGTGCTTGCGCAGCTGAACTTATGCTGGAGGAGTACAAAGACATGATGAGCTTGCTGCTGCTGCTGCTGCTGCTGCTGCTGCTGCTGCTGCTGCTGCTGCTGCTGCTGCTGCTGCTGC